GATGCCTGTTATCAGTTGTCATTCAAGTTAACATGCAACGAAGCATAAACTGCAATTGCTGCTGGTAGTTGAAGCTGTCATAAGTACGTAGTAATCATGGTATCACAGTGTTCTACTAACATGTCAAACGTTGTTCACTCGTTCGATGAACGTGTGATTCCACCTTGTTCGTTGAAATATACATCGGTTAAACGCCTATAGCCAGCCTATCAGTGTTTGTTGATCACTGCCACTAGAAGACATTCGATAATTCCACTTTCTCCATGTCTCAATACCTCAAACTATCAGTCAGTGAAATTATTTGTCGTTGATAACCCCATACTCTTTGCAATTATAACTACTCGTCACTTCAAGTGTACTTCAAGTGTTCACTGAATGTGATTAGATGTAAAATACTGTAGACACGGGATATGTTTGACTGAGACTGTAGGTTAATTTGAAATTCGACTTAGATGCCACATGTCATGTGGAGTATGTATTCCTCTTGCCAATGTGGAGCTTAAGGATAATAGCTATCTGTAAACCATCCCATTTATCACACCAATGACCGGTTGACTGTACAGTATGTTGCCAAATATTAATTCACTTTTCAATTGACATGCCTACTGGTCACGTTTACATATATTTTATATGTAAATCTGATGTGAATATGAAGACTCAGACAAGCTTTCTGGGAAAATGTAGCTTGAATACAGTGGGTAATTGCAAGTCAATATATTTGAGTAGAGGTTAATACAGTATGCAACAGAGTACACAGGATCATTGGGATTTGTTCCAGACATGAAGTGGATACACATTGGATTCTGTGGTAAAATTGTGATACTGTTTCCACTTTGCCATTCGTATATTTCAGGTTCAATTGTTAGTTAGAAAGTGTACTTTATGCAGTGAACGAAACACTATTTTGAATGACCTGGATGGGAGATTGATTGTGATTTTAGTCGAATTTAATCTCATCAGCTAACAGATTTGAGTTCTTTGCACCGATGATACGTGACATTATGTGTAATCCAACCAGTATAATCGAATATTCTCAACATAAATTAGTGTATCACATTGAAGTGTTGAAAAATCAATTGACGAGATATGTGATCCTCATGGAGCTTCGTATGATCTTGAAACTAAGTATTGCTGAACACATCTTATTTCTACTTTGTAATGACTGCATTCTACACATCGTTGAAGAATGTTTATTGGTAAGATAATAAATTTCACAGAACTTCTATAGTGTGTGTCGTATATATATTAAGTGATGTTTTCTTCCTTTTTAGAACTACCTGAATTATTGGTTGTTCATAGATTTCAGTGCGACTGTTATTCCTGATTCAGACCTCTGTTCCTTGTTTCGAGTGTTTCTCTTCGATATGAAAATATCATTTATTTGGTTTCTTGGTTGTTTCTGTGGTATCTAATCTCAACAAAAATAAACGTTTGATTATTTGTTTTTATGAATTACTGAGCAAGGTTTGAAGGATAGTTTTTGCGTAGTAGTGCTTCTTTTTATGTCTCATTTTACTGTTAGTCCATTTATTTCACTGATCACATTTTCAGTTTTCCGGTTTCGCATTCGACGAAATCTGCTTCAACCAACCAATTATGTGTAGATGACTCATGTAGAGAAGTCATGCAAGACCTACAAAACAAACGATATCCATCCGTCGTAGGCAGAGATTGTTCCCAATGTGTGTATGAGAGAATATCTCAACATAATTTTATGATTGTAAAATGGAGTGTATTGATTGACCCAATCATTTTGACTGGTTGCATTCCCTTCCTCTTTTGACAGAATAATTTTTTCACTTTCATCAAATTTGGACTGTGACCACTGGGCTTCTTGCCTGGTACTCTACCAACTGAGTTACGTGGTCTGATTGCTTACCAGAGTTTTATTTCACTTCATTCACAGCCACGGTTCAAATGTTCATCACATCTTCAATCATCATCCAGTATCAACTGTAGTCTGTCGAACCACGTCTATCTCAGATAATCAGAATGATGATCAATATGATGTGCGCTCTCTGTTATTCAGTTAGATTTGGATTAGGATGAGACCTGCTGACTGGACAGCCAGTCTGAGTACAATCAAGTGGTAGTGACGTGTCACGAATTCATATGGTGGTCGGGAGCAGCACTTGGTGATTAAAGTGAAATAGAAAAGGCTGTTCAGTATTAGGACCTCGTAGCTCAATTGGTAGAGCACCGGACATGAAATCTGGTGGCCTCTGGTTCGACAACCGCCAAGGTCTACATTTCCCCTTCACCTCTAATCATCACCTAGTAACAATTATATAAGTGTATCATTTATTTGAAAGCCTTCATGTTATTTATGCTTGTTAACTCACCTGATTTTTAAATAATTATTGTCTTGTCTGTTTAGTAGTTCCGTGTTTACTTCACACTTTGGTGAGCCGTACAGATTCTATGAAATCTCATGTAGCCACCGTATTTATTATTCTCCAATCTCTACGTCTATAACTGGTATAAGAGCAGTATCCAACAACATCCATTATTATTATTATTATTATTATTATTATTATTATTATTATTATTATTATTATTGTTATTATTATTGTTATCATTATTATTATTTCTGTCATCCATTACTCAAATCTTCTCGTGCAGTATTATTTTCAAATTACATATACGTGTGCTGAACTCCTCATTCCTGCTTGATGCTACACTTGTAATGTTATGCAGTGGCATGGTAATCAAGCTTGAAAGTGCAGACTACTGATGATTATATGAATTTGTTTGAGAGTAGTTGCAACAGCGCATTGCCACAGTTTACTTCACCAGTTTCTTTCATACAAATCTGTTTCAAATTTATGTAAACACATTTATTAATGAGAAGTTTCATGTCAGTTTTGTCTACAATTTCAGTCTCTCTGATGATATCAAGCTTGAGAACTGATTCAACTGAATGCTCACCTATGATCAAGGATTTCTCAATTTCTTCTTCGTTTCTCACATGTCTGCGAAATGTCCAACGAGAGATGCACACCGCTCATTGATTGCAATACTGAAACAATTGAATAACATGTGAGTTCGACTAGTATCCTTCATCAACAGTCATGCAATGTAAACTGATTCACTTTCTCATGACGCAAATGCTGATTAGTTTGCCTGATCTGTTGACGAAATATGCCAGAATAAACCTTGAAGTTGGATGAACACCAAACAATTCTCCCCCTTATCCTGAGCAGCAAATCATTTCTACCATCTTAAAACAATCTCCTCTCATCTTTTATTCATATGAAACTGTTGATGCTAAAAATGGAGAGTTCTATACTAACTTCTGGTCAGTTATATGCGGAGGTAAGATAGCATCTGTTCCGAAAGTCACTTTATTCATTCCTTTCTTGAGCGATTTCGCTAAATCCTTCTCATCAATATCACCATCGTTTTGTACGCCTCTAATGTCAATCTTGATCAAATCATTGCCAAAATACCTAAGTAATCAGTAGTTAACAGGTGATATATTCACCGATCGATTATATCGTGATATACAAAACCAAATCAAGCCCACTGAGACATCTAAATGTACAAAACAAGCTTACCCTAGTCCCCATACTCCCTTTGCTCTAAAGCACTTCCGAATGTCTGCATAAGCTGTCTGAGTTTCAGCACGACTGTTCATTCTGGGTAGTGGGAAAAGTAAAAATGCACCTATTGTTAATTCAGATATCCTCTTAACCCTGCCACAGATACACCACATATCCAAAAAATGTATACAAACTTTACTATAGGAGAACAAGGAAATTGTTTCTATGTGCATCAATCGAAGTGCACGTATGGTTTGAATAGGTTCCGAGAGATGGAAACTTCTCTTTTCTCTAAGTTGTCTAGTGTGGTATAATATTTTCCCGATACTCCTCGTGCTTTTCGTTTTCCTGCATGCAGTAACAACTTGACGAAAATATCTGAAGTTCCATTTCCATCAAGAAATGCCAAATTACTAAGACTACTTGGTCTGTGATATCAGGAATTGTTGATGAAAAGCGCTTCAAGTGGACTGTCCTGAACGTTTCACTATTTCCTGAATAATTTTACAATTAACTCTACTGTTTATTAGTGCTGTTCAGACGTCGGAGTGCGCAGCTGCTCCATCCGTGTAGTATCTGACTGGTTATATATATATATATATATATATATATGGCGACCATGCTTCTTGAATAGCCCTTGTATAATTCAGTATTAAACACACCTGAAGTCTATGAATCATCCATCATCATTCAGACAGTAACTCTGACAGTATATATTTCTATGCACCACAACAAGTGATCTGATTGTAGTAGATCTGCACCGCTGTCAACTGTTACACTTGAACAGTCGGAAACCCTGAACTCCTCATATTCGTCTCCGTTCTATGACTAGGCAGATACTTACTGACACTCGAATTTGAAAAGAATCAGCTTGGCGAGAAAATCCTTAGCTTAGTTGTCCTCAACATAAAAATATCCACTCACTGGAATACTAGTTGGCGCGTGGTATTGGGAATTGTTGAAAGAAGCATTCAACTGGTTTGCTACTAACGTCTTCCTATTTTATTGACAATATCAAGATGAACTCAACTGGTAACTAACTTCCTACAAACAATTCCATGCAGTGCCTTTAATACAGTGTGTTGATTACATTTCCTGGACGGCTAAAATAGCAGTCAGAATTTAAACAGATAATTGAATCTAAAAACTCTAGTGACACTTAAGGCAACCGGTATGCGACACTGCTACGAAATAGACATTCCCAGTACTCCACTTCATCTGACTGCACTATATTGGAGGATAAAAAGCAGAGAATATACTTCCTTTATATTGGTACACATTTCAACATGTATATTTCACATGCAGCATACCTCAATTCTATGTGAACGCCATCGTCATTCGCACAACTATTCCTCTAACACCTATTTCTCTGCATCACAACAACGTTTACCAACTTCTTCTAATGAAATACACTTATAGTGCTGTATATTGTAATACTTGAGGGGAGGGGGTGGGGTAAATACTTGAACTTGTATTCACCTAGATTATATGACTATCAAGATACTTAGTGTTTCCCCAGCTTTTGTATAAGTGAGTCATCTTTACTCAATGAAGTCATCAATACAAAAAATCATCTTAAAATAGATGCATATCTGGCGAAGCATCGAACTATACAAACAAGTCAAACATATCGGCTATCTGTAACTCAGACATCGAATGTTGCTCATTCTTGATGCACACTGTGTATAGTATGATAAATAAATGAAAATGATCTGATTCATTAATGCTGTCTATGAACTGAAAAGTGTTATATTCTTGTTTATTTCATATTCTGTCGTCACTTTTAGTGTAACATTGAAATATTATAAGGTGAGAATTGTATAGTAATTTCTTGTTCATTTGTAATATTTTATATGTCTTCGAATCATCTATTTAATGAGGTAAAGAAAAGTTAATAAAATATTTCATGAATGTAATTGTATTTGATAAACATTTGACTTTCACGATATCATTTCAGATGAATGAAGAGTTAACAATCTTCAAGAATATACAATCTAATATATTCTTGAGATTCAAATCAACTTCATTACTCACATATTAATTATACTCCTTTCATGGTGAATCATTTAATTTCCGCTTGAATCGGAAGTACAAATGATGGTCTTCAAGAGGTTTTATTTCCTTTAAAATCTAGAAAGGAAGATAATGCAAGAAAATTTAATTAAAATATTAAGTATTTTGAATATTACATTTCTGAATAAAACTTTTATACATTTCAAAGTACAAACCATTGGCAACATCTATCTTCATTACAATTAGTTTGATATAAACGAAAACTAATGAGAAAAATGAAAGTTCTTATCTCTGAAGAAGAAGAAAAAATGGCCATTTAGACTGTTACAGCTTTCTTTACTGAAAATAGACTAATTTGTACTTAAAAAGGTATTATTTAAAAAACTTAAATCATTTTGAGAAATTAAAGGCTAGAAAATATGAGATAATTTTTACTAGAATAACATATACAGTTCAGCTTTCTTTGATTGATAATACTATGATGATATATGAAGGAATAATGATATACGGTTAGTCATATATATATATATATATATATATATATATATATATATATATATATATATTAGTCCCTTGGGTTCCTAGTGGAACATAGGGATTCAGTAGCACGTCTCCAGTGAACTCTGTTCTCTGAGATCTTTTCAACCTGGTTCCACGACAGCCCAGAGGCTCTCATTTCTTCCTCACACGACCTCCTCCGTGTCACCCTCACCTCGGACGCCCAAGTCGTCGCTTCCCATGGGGATTTCCACTCGAGCAACTGGCCTGACGCGTGGTGTCCCCAGTCGGCCTTCTCAGTGTATGCCCAATCCATCTCCACTTCCTCCTGCATATTTGTTGCATGATAGGTTCTTGGTTGGTTCGTTCCCAGAGCTCCTTCTGGCAATCCATCTGAGCTTCCGTAGCGAGCGTAAGCAGTTGTTGATGAATGTCTGTATATGTATATGTATATATATATATATATATATATACATATATATATATATATATATATATATATATATATATTGTCTATTAGTTAATTCATTTATTGTTTAACCGATATAATTAAAATCATCATTGTAAAACCTTGAACTAGGTGATATGTCTAAGAGTAAATAAAATTGCTTATTTTCAAAAGATAATGGTACAACTACACTTTTTCTGATGTTTTCCACAATTGAATTATCAATTAACTAACTTATCCACACGTAGAATTTACTAGAATTAATACTTCAGAATGATTCAAAGGGGAACAAAGATTGTAAATGTAATACACATATTTTAGGATTAGACAACAAGTTATTGATTGCACTTTAACAACTAATTCACTCATTCAACAGTTTAATTGTAACTTGATTATATCAGTGGCAATGCTATCAACTTCAGCATTGGGTGAAGTGAGTTTGAATCTCAACTGCCTTCAAGTTTTCACACATACCTCACTGATGAGTGTTAATAAGCATGAAACCTGCCAATTACATGCAACCATCTAACATACAAAAACAATTCATAACTTGATGAAATATTACTCATGTATACGTCACATGTCTGTTTGAACAGCGAATAATTATCACAGTTTTCATTTCAATTATAAGAAAACATTTTTTTATTAAATATCCAACTGTGTTATCATTCAATAACTCCTTCTTACAGAGCATCACTTAACTGCGAAACTATTTAAAGGTCAAACGTAATATCTGAAAACTAATCATATTTCTTGATTACTCAAATCTAGGTAGTTGAAATGTGATTTCAATCTATAACCTTTTAGTTAAAAGTCAATTGCCTAGACCAATGAACCACATCTCTAAACATGACAGCTTTGTAACTGTGGGTGGATTGTAATTCTTCCTAAATATGGAACATCGAAATGTCCAACTTTTTGGAGAGACTATTCATACTGCCTGTTGGAAGTAATCTTTTACACGCTCAGACTAAACATCTTCATTCTTTAATAAGTTATTTCAGCTAAGCCGTTTATTTGTAAATGTCTTTATATATATATATATATATATATATATATATATATATATATATATATATATATATATATATATATATAACACGCTCTAAGAATCTTTCATCCAACTGATCGCAAATCTACCCACCAATATATAACTCTAATAAGTTTCCAAATTTGAACAATCCAGCATTGATAAAAAGAAAATTCACTAGCTAATAAAGAGATAGACAATTATGTTGCTTATCTACACACATGCTTCATCATACTCAACAACACCTAGTATGATTGAGTAAAGAAGAATGTAGGTTGATGTCATAATCTATTCTACTGCATGTGGTGAAGCGAGGTCATTCATCAGATATTCCTTGTATGATGTATCAAACTATCCTGGAAGTATATATCCAGGCTTGGTGCACATCGTACAACCTATGACAATTTCATGACTTGCAGTTAAACCCGTCTCTTCACTACATTCCCAATATTAACAATTAACTAAGATCATGTAAGACGGTTGGAAGCAGCTTGGAGGAAACACTAAACCTTAGTTTTGTGCTCATTAGCACTCATCAACAAGGCATATCCGCAAACTCAACTGAGATGTGTAGTAACTTCTCTGATTAAAGCATTGGGTGGTGCACTTTAGAGTCTAAGAGAGGAAACCGATATTTTGCTGATTGCCTGGAACCATCTAATATCAATCGACGTACACTGTGATGCTCAACGTCCAGATTTTATGATCACATTGCAAAATCACCCAAAGAATTCGGCCAATACTTACCAATAGGCAAAAAATTGATTACTATCGATTGACCAGTCAGTATAACTAATAATTACCATTTCTCCCTTGGGTTCCTAGTGGAACATAGGGCTTCACTAACACATCGCCATTACACTCTCTTCTCCACACTCTTCTCAAACCACCTCCAGGCTACACCACCACCACATCACCTTTCAGTTCCTTCTCACACCATCTACTCCATACCAACCTCGAATGCCCAACCCTCGTTTCCCATACGCCTTCCACTCCACGGCCTCCACTAATGCCTCATTTCCAAAAACCGTCTTCTCAGTCTTCTCCCAGTCAAATCAAATCAAATCAACCCCCACTCTCTGCTTCTGTATATTTGTTGGGCAATAGGTTCTTCGTTGGTACGTTGGTTCGTCGCCAGCTAGCCACAGTTCCTTGTTACCCATTCCTTCTGACTGTGTCATCTCATCCTCAGTATCCAGTGAGCGTAGACCACACGTGTTGATGAATGTCTGTACTTTCTTGCGAATGCTTTTCGTAACGCCACAAGTCACCCATCCATCACATACAAGTACTGACTTCACTGAATCAATGTTGAAAATCAGGATCTTGTTCATGCTCTATACTGAGTGCAGCGAAGTGCAGTGCAGTGTAGTGCAGTGCAGTACAGTTGATCTCTATACTGATTTCAGATTAATGCACAAACACCTGTCTTGCTTTTCCAATCCTGGCTGGCTTTGACGTCCTCATCTGTGCCTGTGCCGCCTGCATTTGAAATGATGTTTCCTAGGTAGGCAGGTAGGAAGGTAGGTAGGTAGGTAGGTAGATAGGTATGTCGGTAGGTAGGTGAAAGAGACTACTTGTTTAAGGTAATTATGGTCAAGTCATAAACTTTAACCTCTGTAACCCTAGTTTTTATTTGTCTTAGTTCCCTTCCCTTAGTGGTCATACAATTAATACTTGATTGTTATTCATCACGTGTGGGAAGTTTCTCACTGCTTACAGCTGTTTCACACTTAACATAGCTAATGCAGTGGCTCAATACTACGTAGTGGAGAGGTGATTTAAATTAACAGTAAACTTCAGTCGTCTGTTTACAGTAGTGAACTTACTTCAAAGCCAAGATTGTAAGCCATTTGTTTCACACGTTCACAATAGACTTTGATTTGTTCAGCACGTATCTCTACAATATACCTTGAAAAAGAATATTTGAAAATAAATAAGACACACATTTAGTTGGAAATTATGTTAGTTTTATTTTGATAATGGGAAAAATGGCATCAATCACCAGTAAGTAACCAGTGTAGCTGTCTGGTTCTTACAGTTCAGCACTGACTGCAGTCAAATGACCAAGTTTTACTGAGTAGTGTAGATTCAACTGACTATGATAACACTGATTCTCATTATGCCTAAAGAAATGCTTCATTGTTAAATGCCAGTAAGCATGTTGATTACTTCACAGCATCGAACAAAGGAATAATGTTGTTCGTGAATATATCTTGAATACTAGTCGTCATATAACGAATTCACGAGAAAAATGTTGCATTTTATAGTCTACGAATACAGAAATACACCAATTTCTATATGCGAGCAGTATGGAAATGACGAGACTATCTCACATCGTATACTACTTCACTGGATGTTTTCACTTCTTCCCCATTCAGAAAAGATAGCACATATGTTACAGACCAATAAAGTAATGATAGTTAAAATGACCCATAAGTAGGTTAAGAACGTAAACCTACCCCCTATTATGTCGAATTAAGACCGGACAAGTCAAAACTTGACTAACAAAAAAAACATGATAGTAATATATCAACTAAACCACTTGGAAAAGTGTAAGGTCTTCAAACAGTGTTTTTTTTTGAGAATCTAAGTGTTATATAGTCGAAGATCATCACAACGAAAAAAATCCATCCACTTTTCATCAATCTGAATACTTTCTAACTCGCTTTTATGTCTTACCCTTTCTTGTAGTCCCTTCTATGTTAAACTTGATTTCATTTTAATGTCTACTCCTTTCATTGCAACTTAAAACTATATAGTTTTGTACAAGGTACTGTGTTTTCTCTCTTTTAACTATCCAGGTATTTACAACTGCGGCCTACGGAGTGAACAGACAAAGTTATCTATCTGCATACTGACCTTCTCTTTCTTTATGAATAACTTCTTATTATCTGATATGCATTTAATAGCTCTGTTATCTCAGATAAACTTCATGCTTATTATTTCCATAGTGAATGTGAACTATTATTGAGTAATATAAACGAAATTAGTAATTCTAGCAGTTCACTTAATTGATATTTACTGAGTTATGTCAAATGATAATCAAACTTTAAGTTTATTACATACAATCTATTATCCAGTTAATTAAATAATAAAAGGGAATCTTAACTTACAGAACAGATTCTACAATCAATAATGCTTCATCTTCCAAAAGATCAGTAAATGAAACTTCTGATAGATCAGTAGTAAATAAATCACTTTCTAAATTCTTATCATTGCCTATTGATATCACATTCTTCTTTGTTTCTTTCTCTTTATTTAATTTATTTTTATGATGAACCTTCGATAATGATTGTCTATATTTTTCTTCTTGTGAATGTAAATCAGATAATAAATGAACTAAACTATTTCCAATGTAGATTATACGAAAACGATTTCCTTTTGATAATAAGGTATTGTTATCAGTTTTTATAAATATTGATCGATAACGTGTAGATAAGTCTAAAAAACTGTTAACTGGAAGAAATTTAACTTTGAATGTATTTGTAATATCTAGTGGAACTGTAGAAAAAAGAAAGAGGTAAAATATGTAATATTAAAACAATTGAAAAATATAATTCATCTGTGAGTTATATATAATTTTTCAATCATGATATAACGCACTTAAGAATATCTATGATTTCAATAATAAAAGAATAAAATCACTTCTTACAGAAATATATATAAGATATTTTTTTCCCAAGAAGAAGAAGAAGAAAAATTTTTATTTAATCAACCATATAGGAAATCGAAGCCATCTTTAAAAAGCAAACTGTTCAATTAAAAACTTTCGTCGATAAAGACTGTTTTGATATCTAGTATATATAATCAAGTCACTATGCCAAGTAATTCACAATAGGAAGCTTAGTGATGCTTTTGAAGTGAAGACAAGAGTAAAACAAGGCTACCGCCTAATATCACCCATGATATTCCTGATTGTAGTGGACTGGATCATGCAACAAACAGTGAGAAGCAAGAAGAGACGGATACGCTGGCTGGACTGCTGAAAAGAACCTAGAAGATTTGGATTTCACCGATGATTTGTGTCTGATGTCACACAAACTTGAAGATGTGCAACCGAAAACTAACAAGTTGACAGAAGAGGCAGAGCAGCGAAGACGAGACTTCAAGGGAGTGTAGAGAAGACAGAGGTGATGAAGATACGCAGCTAACGTCATCAACAAAAACAACAAGCTTCAATCACCATCACCATCACCTATCTAGGCAGCACTTTTTTAACTACAGCTGCCACAGACGAGGATGTCAGAGCCAGCCAGGATCGGAAAAGCAAGACGGACGTTCATTAGCCTGAAACCAATGTGGAGATCTTCTGCACTCACTATGTGGAACAAGATGCGGATTTTCAAAACCAACGTCAAGTCACTGCTTCTGTATGTCTCAGAGACTTGGCGCGTTACGAAACAAATTTCCAACAAACTACAAGCATTCATCAACAACTGCCACCTACGCTAACTCGTTACTCAAGCTCAAATGAGATGACCAGAAATAATAAGCAACAAGGAACTCTGGTTGACAACGAATCAAGAACGTACCACCCAACAATTATGCAGAAGGAAGTGGAGATGCATTGGACATGCACTGAGAAAACCATTCAGGGACATCATGTGCCATGCTAGGATATCGAGTAGAACCCAGATGGGAAACAATGAGTTGGGCGTCCGAGGTGACGGTGACATGGAGGAGATGGTGTGAGGAAGAAATGAGAGGTTGTGTGCAGTCGTGGAGCCAGGTTCAAAAGTTTGCAGAGAACAGAGTGCACTGGGAACCCAAGGGACAAATTATAAATAAATAATAATAATCATCAAGTCACTATCTACCCGCAAATGTATCATGTTATCTGAAGCATTATCAGATAGAATGAAAGCTAAGACTAATTAAGTGGAGATATGAGATCAGTCTACAAAGTCTGAGTGTTATTCTGAACTGCTTATTAAAATGTATGCTTAAGACTGGTCATCAAAGTGACAACATGAACTTGATTTGACATCATCTTCATCAGTCATCGTGCCACGTTTTTTTCTTCCTTATCATATAGCTTTTTTTTAATGAACACCTAAGACTTTGATTGCATCATTTTAGTTTCTGTATTTCCCCTCCGCCTGCATATGCTGTTTCAAGCTTATGAGTGTTATTTTTCAGTCTTCAGATCTTCTTAATCAGCAGCTTAGGCGATCATTAATAACATTTTATGTAAGCATATTGAAAATACTACACCAAGTGAGAAGATTACATATATGTCAAAAATATGAAGCTTGAAAATTATATTCATTAACAGAAGATAGAAGTTTGCAATAATCACTAATTACCTAATATAACAAAACATTTTGGGTTAAATTTCGATTACTGACTACCTTGAGTCAGCTGACTTTTATTTAAGCTTTCTATAATTGTGAAACTGTAGAATATGACGGGAACCGAAGAAAAGGTTATTGTCACTAAAGACAATGGAAACAATGTTACACTGACCAATTACATTTTACAAACTACTTGAAATTTAATGTTCACTGAATTAAATAAGCGTGTTTAAGATTCATATACTCGAAAAAGAGTAAAAAGTGACATTAAACGTTATGTAGTATTCAATGAAATGATGCACTTTTCTACGATATCACATTCATCAGTTATCATGAAAGTTGTGGATAGTAGTAATAATGCATACACTTTGTATTACTTAACCAATATAAGTATAAGCGACTACTTGTGAAGTACTTTCGCTATTGAATTTATTTAGCCGAACAAGTGAGTGTTCGTTTAATTATGTTAATCGGTGCTCCATGAATACTACTTAAATAAAACTGCTTCGAATACTAATACATGATTGATTTATTTCTCCCTTAGGTTCCTAGTGGAACATAGGGCTTCACTAACACATCGCCATTACACTCTCTTCTCCACACTCTTCTCAAACCACCTCCAGGCTACACCACCACCACATCACCTTTCAGTTCCTTCTCACACCATCTACTCCATACCAACCTCGAATGCCCAACCCCTCGTTTCCCATACGCCTTCCACTCCACGGCCTCCACTAATGCCTCATTTCCAAAAACCGTCTTCTCAGTCTTCTCCCAGTCAAATCAAATCAAATCAACCCCCACTCTCTGCTTCTGTATATTTGTTGGGCAATAGGTTCTTCGTTGGTACGTTGGTTCGTCGCCAGCTAGCCACAGTTCCTTGTTACCCATTCCTTCTGACTGTGTCATCTCATCCTCAGTATCCAGTGAGCGTAGACCACACGTGTTGATGAATGTCTGTACTTTCTTGCGAATGCTTTTCGTAACGCCACAAGTCACCCATCCATCACATACAAGTACTGACTTCACTGAATCAATGTTGAAAATCAGGATCTTGTTCATGCTCTATACTGAGTGCAGCGAAGTGCAGTGCAGTGTAGTGCAGTGCAGTACAGTTGATCTCTATACTGATTTCAGATTAATGCACAAACACCTGTCTTGCTTTTCCAATCCTGGCTGGCTTTGACGTCCTCATCTGTGCCTGTGCCGCCTGCATTTGAAATGATATTGCCTAGGTAGGCTCGTAGGCAGGTAGGTAATTCGGTAGGTAGGTGGAAGAGACTACTTCCTTTAGGTTTCTCCCATTCATGTTGATCGGTGCTTGTTGTTGTCGTTGTTGGTTGAGTATCTTCATCAGCTCTACCTCTGTCTTCTCTACATTCACCTGAAGTTTCGTCTTCGCTGCCTCTTCTGCCGGCTTCTTGGTTTTCGCCAGTAGATCTTCGAGTTTGTGCGACTTCAGACAGACATAAACCATAATGGGCGAAATCCAAATCTTTTAGGCTCTTTTCACCTGTCAAACAGCGTATGCCAGTCTTCTCGCTCCTCACAGTTTCTTGCATAATCCAGTCCAGTCGACCACAATCAGGAAGATGATCGGTGATAGTAGGCGGCAACTTTGTCTTACTCCTATCTTCACTTCAAAGGCATCACTGAGCTTTCCATTGTGATTCACTTGGCATGTAGCACCACATAGCATATAGCTGTTGAATGAGGTTAGTAAATGTTTGTGGCACCAAATGCATAGTTTTGAAGCAGCTGCCAAATTGGTTGACGCTTTCGAAGGCCTTTTCAAAGTTTATGAATTTCAGGTAAAGATTCGCTGCAATTAAAACAAGGCTCACTTTCGTTTCATTTCATCATTGTTAATTATACACAGTCATATGAAATCAGAATGTTCATAATCAGTTTGTATTACTCAGTTGTGGTAGAAACACGAATTCTGAAGACAAAATCAATTTGTGTTCTGTAACACAAAAACCGAAATATGCTACTACATTAAAGTTGGAAATCGTCAAGCCTGATATGAAGGTTTATTTGTTTGAGGGGTTCCAAATGTTCATGCTTTCAATAGTATGATGGTTAGTTTAACTATTCAGATGTCATCCGCTTATAGCTTGAAGAAATTAATGAGAATTTTATCAATATGAAAGTAACACTTGTTTTTTTCCTGGGGAAGATGGTCAATGTAGTGGAGGGGCTATAATTACTAGCAATTTAGGAGTCATATTTATGATGGATCGTGGCTAGCAGTAGAATCCAGGACACGCATTTCGTCCTATTTGGGACTCGTCAGCTGGATGTACCTGCTTCCCAGTGAGTGATGTTGTTCCCACCGGGATAACGCCAGGGCGTTGTCCACTACACCAACAAACCACGATGGCCACTTCTTTTGTGACGAATATAGTCCTAGCATAGTTTTGTTTCTTTCTTATGTCATACCGTCGTTGATTGGATCGAATTGATCGGTCTCTATTGACATATGGGCTCCTGTGAGGATGCCTCGATATTACCTGTGTTCTAATTATATTAATGATTGATCTTGGCTAGCAGTAGAATCCAGGATGAGCATTTTGTTCTATTTGGGATTTCACTGCTAGCCAAGATCAATCATTAATATAATCAGAACACAGGTAATATCGAGGCATCCTCACATGAGCCCATATGCCAATAGAGACCGATCAATTCGATCCAATCAACGACGGTATGATATTTAAAAAAATTTTTAAAACACAATTATACTAGTTTGGAAGTCAATTAAAAATATTACAAACAAAAAAGCATAAAATGTAACTGAAAAAAAAAATCTATTTCATAGTCCTTCCATCTCTTAAGTATACGTATACGGAGGACAAAGAACTAGCTAATTTTGATTAGTTTTTCATAACAATCCGTTGTCAATCAAACAGTCAGTATCAACATAGCTCACTAGTAAGCAAAAACAAAAGTTTGAGCTAAATGAACTGTATTTACCTATTAAAACAATGCGCAAAATAATGAATATTTGTACTTTTTTCGATTATATACGACTTGTAAATTGATTCATATTGACAATGGCTTTATATATGCCCACACACATTCACAAAATCAGATTGGTTTCTATCAGTATTCACAAAAACTAATTTATAATCAAGACACTTACCATATTCAATGTTATCAAATTGTGTTACAAATGAATTGTTATTAGACTGTTTCGATTCTCCGAAGGCTGGAACTGAAGCAGATACACTGTCTTCTTTCAGTTCTACTACTGCAAATTATTTGAAAGCAGCGAGAGTTAAAATAAAGAAATTACATTCTTGTTCTTTGAATTTTGATGAATAATTACGTTTACACAAACTAATTTGCTAACGAAAGTCATCCTATGAACTGTTTAATCAGTAATCATTCATACAATGTACCCTTTCTGAATCAGATAGTTTTAAATACACAGACATAGACACATCTGAGTAGATCCTCATACACAACTACATTAGTTCAAGTTGTCACACCTCACAGTAGTATTCAAAGTAAAGTTGTGTGAGAGAATAAATAGTTTAAAGATAAAGGTCAATGTAAATATTCAAGCTTTACAAGATGTCGAAGAATGAACAAATATGAGCCACTGTGACCGATTTCCAGCCATATCACCAACAGTCCTCAACCACTAATTCTTATCGTCTAGATGACCCCGGACAGGCAATTCACATTTCCCAGTTAGACTTCATGAACTAGTGCGATGTCTTGGTCTGGCCACCCTAAACCCTTTTCCAACTTAATCCAACTTCTCCTACCATGGCAGGTTGAGGTAAACGAAAGCTCGTCATGAGCAATATATGTTCGACTAAGGTTTAAAAGCTTCATCAATCGACTTGCCTGTCTTGCTTAGTATCCTTCGTCTTAACATTGCTCACATGGTGATTCTACCAGATGCAATCAGTGCTACGAAGACATTCATGATCAAAAAAAATGTAATTGCTTTATGTCTTCTAATTTCAACAGACATGTATCGTAGCCTTACAAAAAGACAGAACGAACTATAGCGCAGTATACTCAATGTTTGATAGACAGGTGTCTTACCGATCCCCAACACGTATGATGCAAGTTGGCAAATGCTAAACGGGACTTCTGTATCCGAGATGAGATTCCATCAGCAGCCATCCCATATGGGCTGATGCATCTCCCCAAGCAAGTAGAGTGATCGGTACTCTCCACCACTTCACTCCTTATCTCTCAACTGGGAGTACTTGGAGGAGGCTAGTCCCGGAGTATCATTTTAAATTTGACGACACGCATGCAAAATACTCAGATTTCTGCTCCAAACACCCAGAAGAATATGTATTTTGTCGGCATCTTCATCTCACAGGATAATATCGTCTGCATACTCTAAGTCAGCTAGATTGCCTCCAGAGAGTAGGTCAATTCCTTTGAAGTTAGACGCACTTAATTTTATCCCCATTAGTACGTCTATGACAAAGTTAAGTACCACTGGTGACAGTGGACATCTCTGGCAAACACCACGAGTTGTCATCAGTTCCAATGACAACTCTCCATAAGCTCTGGTACGGCTGTGCGAATTCGAGCAGGGTCACAGAACCGACATCTACATCCTTCTCAGGTTTTTGGTAGAAGGTGGGTAAATGAAGAGTTACTGTTTGGAGTGGATTTCAAAATGTTCCTTCCGAAGTTCTAGGTGTCTATTCTAAGACATTTTCGGAATCATATCCTTCGTTTTCTTCCTGCCGGTATCAACAATAAGCTAAAATAGTTTCAGGATGTTACTCAACGCTGATACTTTCTTCATTTTTCTCGCTTTCACCACCCACGAATGCTCGTGATAATTGCGAAAACTCATGGTCAATTTACGTTTCAGATGCCTTTGCTTTTCATTGTGGTCGTAACCAGCTGGAAACAGTCCTCTCACGTGAACCAGTTCAAATGATGTCACGGAAATCCAATGACATTTACTGACCTTTGAATGTAGGTTACTAACTGTCTTCACTGCTGTTTCTACAAAACAGACTTAAGATCATGCCAGGTTTTCCCAGGATAACCAATCCTGTCACCTTCAAATACATACTTACGTATCACCTCTCAAAGTTTTTATTTCAGGTTCTCATCTTTTAAGTGAGCACGCATAGACTGAACCTCCGCCTGCAGCGCAGCCATACAAAAACCAGTAATAGTACGTAATTGCAGTCCAAACAGGTACTTTAGAAAGTGCGGATATCTTTCATCAGTGCTTTCCAACGACGGCTAATAGCAATGCGATTTACCTGTTTCCATCGCTAGTTTGATTCCAGTGGACGCTGAGATAGTTTTTCTCCTTTTGCTTAAAGTTTGTGCTGGCTAGAAACGAGTCACTGTCGGAAAAAATTGCCACAGACGATCATCGTTGTCTGTTCATTGGCACGGGATTCCGTTAATACCACAAAATGTCTTTCTGACTGACTCATCCTCCCTGCTTGACCATTAAAGTCACCTATCATTATAACTATATCTGAACTTCTTGATCTACGTAGAAAAACTCACAGCTTCTCATCATTTGCAATATCCGAACTGCAATCGGTTGGTGCGCAGGTGGAGATTACGAATAGCCAACGGCTGGTCTCACAATCATTCCTAGTTCTTACATTCGGACAGCGCATAGACGGCTTCTGACTGGCATCCAGTTGAGAAGCGCACTTTCCGCTCTACAGCAGAACTCCATGCCTATATCACTAAGCCCACGACAGCAAGCCATTGGATCTTCAGGTAGTCGTAATGTAAATTTTGAAGATTCACTACAATGACTGAATGAGGTCAAGCGAATAGCCACACTTAGGCCCCGTATAAGTGTCTAAGAGACACAGCATATATCCATGACTGAAGATTCCAGAGTTCTGGAGAATAATCCCTGCTTCCCGATTCGGCATAGAGTTTGGACGTCAAAAGCCCCTACATAAAGTCGGTGGCCAAATCTTAGTAGACTAGCAGTGAGCTTACGACAGCTCTGGTCGTTGGCAATGGTTGAAAAGTGAAAAATCAAGGAAGTTGTAAGAAGCTTAATATTGGTATTATTAAGGCAAAGGAAGAGATAAAGGTTAGGAGGTAAATTGCATAAGATGTGTTTGAATGTATCTTGTATACTTCTGAAAGCATGTGGGTGGTTGAAACTTCTCAGGTGTCCACACCGTGGAAGGCTACTTCTTCTTAAGTAGCCTTTCTGCACGAGAAAAAGGTTTGTAAATGTAGAGCCCATGGAACATCTGCTTGAGGCCTGTCACATACAGCCTTCTGAGGATTGCTTGTATGCGATTTAATTGTTCTAATGAGATCAACAAACCATATCCCCGGAACCGTGTAACTGTTGGGCAGGGAGGAGTGTGCTAATTCTGGGGTTAACCATTGCTAACCCCTCTTTTCTTTAAGGAAAGCAGCATCAGCGTCGTACTACTGACCATCCAAGAGAATAACCTTACTGCTGTCAGACGCCGTCCAGCCACAGTACGACTTCTCCCTCAAACCCCATCATAGTGTAGCAATTTACACTATAACTGTAACTGTTCTTCATCTGATCACTATCCAACATAGTAGGACCCCAACGGAACAAGCGTTCTAGCTAGTGTAACTGGTTGTGTCACTGTGATATGCAAGCTTGACCACCACGTCAATATAGCAGATATATACGGTAGAAAGACAGTAGAACAATAAAGTAAAGATGAATATTTTTAGAAAATCAACACGTTCTTGCTTTAATTTTCTAAACACCCTGGGATTATATTGAAATTTACTCATATAATCATTTTGACAAATACCTAAGTTAATAGTAGTCTGCCCATCCTTTTATTACTAAAATAACAGTTACACGAAAATTGTTCAACAGAGCTAATCGACTTTTTCAAACAGAAGACGGTGAAGGGGAAGAGTTAGAGTCAGTTTGTTGTACACTGAAAGCAAATAAAAATCACAAAGATTTCGCAAAACTAGTTTTTTTTACAGAAATTGGGAATGTGCTGAAACTCGTTACGAAGAACTGGATCAATACGATGGTAATTCCGTATTGTAAGGAGACCGCGGAAAAAATAAGAATTCTCGTTAAGTATGACATATTTTCAGGCAAAGAATACCCTCAGTTCTAAACTGATGAAAGCTAAAGACGTAGAACTGAAAAAAATCAACATACTTCGTCGATGAAATTAAATACACTGAGTGTGATGCAGTCGATATAAGGGAAACAGTCCGGCAGGTAAATGTAAGTGTGAAGAAGCATAGATTAGGTCTAACGATCAATCCATAGACCTCAGCAGAGATAAGTAATAAAGAAAAAAATTGGAAATACCGATAAACTGGATAAAGATGAGCCACAAAACTGACTCTGACGGAACCAAAAAGATTCAAAAACATTTCCTATAACATCAAGAAATATAGACATACAACGCCCTACATGTCTGTGAAAGTCCTTAACATTTTCCAAGTATTTCGCGTAAAAATTGACATCGTTTGGAGAACGAATGTAAACTTGAAAGCGCTGAACAGTCGTTTCATCCTAAGATAAAACTCCGTAGTGGTACGCACCCACAAACCGATTACAGATTGAACTCAGAACATTCAGGTTTCACGACGAACACGTTAAAAATTCGGCCACCGGATTCAATTTCAATGGTCTACAGTCTCCTACTTCCATCAATTCACAACATAGTGCAACACCATTGAACATCTTCAGTCGGTCATGGTTACGTAATGCTGAGGAGTCCTATACTAAGACAAAACAGCTGTCCAGTACTCCCAGGTTCTCAATGGTTCCCCAACTAATCTCATTCCACAATGAATACCACCTTGAAAATAAAAATTCCCACTAACCTCAAAATACAAATACTTAATATGTTCTATTATGTAGTTAAAGTTCGAATAATTGAAAATTCGAAGCCTATATAACCATCAAAGCCCTTCGAACAGGTGAAAGATAAAGTCACATCCGTTGTATTTATGAATTTCAATGTACGTGTGGTCACACGTACATAGGGAGAACTCACCAGTCATTGAAGACGAAGGCCGAAGAACACACTCAGAAACAAACAGAGTATCCTGACGCAATGGATGCTGCAAACAAAAGTTCTAGCTTCCTAACAGCTGAACATATCATTGAAAGGAGGCATAGAGTTGATGCATGAACGTCATTTAAGGCCATTCATAAGAATTGTTGGTGATATATTTTAAAGTTCTTTTGGAGTACTAGCCATTAGATGGTTTAAGCCATCTTTATGCATACGAAAACAATTTGTCATAATATTAAACCTTCTTCTTTGGCAAATTAGGCTTTCAACCCAAGGTTGTTGTACTAACTACTCTAACTACTGAAGTTTTTCAGTAGTAGTATCTCGCTATTGTACTACTAATAACTTTCTGTTTTTCTCTCTTTATTGATCTTCATTGTTATTTTGATCGTCAATGTTGTCTTCTTATCCAACCGATAACTATTTTCCTACCTTTTTCAATAGGAAATTCTCATATAAATGACAAGTATATGCGGGATCGGATTGTTTGAAGCATATTGTATAAATACACTATACGATCCAGACAAGTTACTTCTTCTTATGGTTTTATTAAAATTCATAAAGTTGTTTCTAACTGGCAAAAATATGACCTGTGGTCTGTTTACTCTCGTATTTACAATAAAAGAAGATATGAATAACAAGATATACACACGCAAACCATAAAACAAAAGACAGACAACTTTCCACTGAATGATTTGAAATCATATCTTAAGAAAACAATGACTATATAAAGAGGTTTGGACAAGAAGATCACGTACACGTTTTAAAATTCATTTTTGAGGTTTCACAACGAAAGTGTTAACCATTCAACCACTTGGTCGGAATTCAATGGTTCACAGTTAACTACTGTCAATTCACGATATAGCTTGGCTGTCCACCAAGCTCTTCATTTGACATACGCTTCACTTTCGACTGGCTAACCCCGTAGCTCATGCCTATTCATTAGAACTTCAGGATATCCATCTGTAAGCATGTTACTAATGAACGCTATACAGTATTGTAGGCTACTACCTAGAAAGCAATCAATTTCTCTGTGATTTGTGGCACATACAGTAGCCATATTACCAGTTTACGAATGAGTTCCGTGACTTTCAGTCTCTTACCAGTTCATAAGCACCACCTGACTTCAACTGCTTGCGAAATTGAATATATTATTTTACTGAACGGAATAAATTTATTTTCATGCAATAAATTGTCAACCGCAGACAGTTGATTACATTACAGACGGAGATTAACTCTATGTATGAACTGATCTTTGAAACTGATTGCAGTCATCTCCATCAAAACAGTAAGCCTTTATTTTTTTGGTATTGTGTTCATTGAGTTGAATAATTTAATCCCAAAGCATTTATTGTCATTCTAGATGACATAAAAAATGGAATCAAAGCTTTACAATTAAATCATCCAGCTCACAGAACAAAATGCCACCGAAATCATTCTGTTACTCTAGGAATATTTTCCACCACTAAACGCCTATTGTTGACAATTGTAAAGCTGTAGCTAACTAGTCTTGAAAATCGATTTTCTTTTAGTAAGTCATGAGTTTAATTCTCATCTCAGCATCCACAATTTTGACAGCAGAATAGCATACAAAAGAGGTAAGTGATTGTTGTTGAGCTACAATACTATCATTATTAGTGTCCCCAGCAATAACTTCATCAAAACGCTCTCAGTTAAGAACAAGGTGTTTTTTTTTGCAATAAGCTTTTGCAGAAATCGTGAATTCACGAAACAAACCTCTAACTGATTTGATTAGCTACAAACTATTCACATTAATCAGCGGCATTCCTTAACCATATTGAATCAATTTGGAAACTAGAAGACTGTTCCGCTCATTTTGAGCCGAGTACATTAACGGTATATCAGAAGTGAACAATCTAACCCTTTTGTTTCAACCAACTTTAAAGTTTTTCGACTCACCCTTTCAATTTCTTTAATAGATCCAAGTAAATTACACTCTGTTGTGAGAAAACTTTATTTTGCAAGGGAAACTGAAGTAGATATTTGTTGGTTGAAGGCAATCGGCAGGAAGCCTTGGACCTAGGTTTCGTGCTTGTTGGCACTTGTCAGTAAGGCTCATCTGCAACCTCAATGGAACTGATATCCCACCTGGGATTTGAACTTGCGTCACCCAGTGTTGTAGTCAGCGACTTAATTAGTGAGATGGAATTTCACAAACGAATTCCACTTGGTGCTAGCATTCTTAATCAGTTACTTTAAGAACATCCAATCAAAATCTTATCGTATCTCAATATTTGAAAGTTTTTTTCTAATTCACTCACGTTTTGTGTACCCATCTGTACAACTACCTTCCGTTTGGTTATTGATATTTTCTTCATCATTATGCAATTCATTTCCAGTCATGAGATCATTCTGAGGACCACCGTGTCTCTCATAAGGCACATCTCCATCATTGGTCGTAGTTGACGTCTCCAAAAACGGAGCAGCAATATGAATTGGACACTTTTTACGATTCATTAATTGCCAAAATATTTTACGGATATTCACTTCAGATATTGTTGTTGCAGAGTAGGCATGCTTTCCATTCACTCGACGATTCAACTCAGGACATTCTGATGTATCTATACCGAATGCTAAATACGGGGAACATATTATATCACCCCAATAACCCCAATAAACTCCTTTATCACCAGTAGAATTCTTTAAAACTCTTCGAGACGCTAGACTTCTGTTCGGAGTATTGTAATCGGCTTCCCGAAGTTCAAATGCATTACCGAAGTGACGCCAGTGTGCATATTCTTTGGAATAAATTTGCGTAGCCTTAAAAATAAACAAAATCAACTCTTTTCATTATGATAAATCTATATTGTTATGTCATTTAGACAGAATGACGTGCAGACAATCGGGTTGATGAAACAATTTTCATTATATCTAGAGATTTGTGGAGGTTCATTTACTGATTTTACGTTGGAATGTATCATGAACTGACATCAGTCGGAGGAACATTGGAAACTTGAGAGCACTAGACAGATGTTTCTTCCTGGTATGGGGCTCCTAAGCAGTACGCATCCATGATGATAGAATGGATGGTGTCCATCATTTAACCTTCTTTCCAAAATAAATAAATCATGAGAAGCATGCCTTTTTAAGGCTAATATGTGATGAATTTCATCAAACGAGATTTAAACTGCACAGTCCCTCTAGTACATATAATGGTGATGATATTTACAATACTTTAAGCAAGTTCGTTAACTTCTTTGTCACTCTTGAATCGTATTTAAGACGTTTAACCGATTAGAACTATGAATATGGCTTTTTGAATTTACTGATGGCTGAATATCTATTACACAGTATATCTTACATTCATTACAGCACCAACAATCATAATGTAGTTTTGTTTTCTGTATACGTACTGATATTACTTTCACTTACGAGATTCATAAAGTCAGAAAATATTTAGCGAGAAATTTTGTTTTCAGTGATATCATACTTAATCGCCTAATACTCACTCTATCATCCCACTACTTGTGATTAATCCAAAAAGAGGCATCAATGATAAAAGAAATATGCGACATCTTCATATCTTCTCTTCTCAATGGCTATTTTTCACAGAACACAGCATATTTCTAAGTAGTAGACTCATCTTTCGACAGACAGTCAGATAATTTGTTGGTATCAGAGACGATGTAAGTTGGTAAGCACTAGATAGGCTTTCTGTACTTTAAGTGAAGTATTCAGTAGGTAAAACATGAGGCCTGAGGCAAAGAAAGAAGAAACTGAAATGACCAATCTACTACAACTATTCAAAGCTTGGCTTAAATATAGACATTGATGTACACCACTGGTTTTCACTCACCTAGATGAAATACCTCTGTAAGCCTTTAACCTAAGAATATGGAAATGCTTATGAAGGATCCTTAATTCTCAAAAGTCAGATTTAAGATTAACTTGATGAGATGAATATTTCAAACCAGAAATCCAAACTTTTCGATAAAACAATAAATATCGTTTTGATTATCTCTGATTGCCTTGGTTTGGCAGACTAGTATTGATACTGGGTGATGATCGAAGGTAAAATGAAGATAGGAACCACGACCGGATTCAAACCAGTGACCACCGAGTTTCCGACTTAGTGCTCTACCAACTGAGATACAAGGCTCTACTGCTAACCAGATTTTTACTTCACTACAACCACTAAGCGTTTTTCCCGACTACCATGTGAATTCTGGACGTGGCACTATCGCCTGATCGTACCCACACTGGTCGCCTAGCCAGGACTTCTCATTCCAATCCAAATGTAACTGAATTATACATGGGGAATAAAAACCTGGTCAGTAGTGGGATGTCGTAGCTCAGTTGGTAGAGAACCGGGCCGAAAACTCGGTGGTTCCTGATTCGAATCCGAGTAGTGGTCCAAATTTTCGTTTCAACTTCAATCATCATCCAAAAACAAAGAATAGTTAAATTAACCGGCTGCAATACTCCAAGGTTTTAGGTGATATAACTGTACCTTTTTAATTCTCATTATGTTGCATCTATATACATTCGGCCTGGAGGTAAGCATTTGTAATAACCTCTACTTTATTACAATCAATATTTCCTATCAACAGAGCAAAAGAAATTGCTAATTGGATAAGGCTTACTTTACGATCATGTAACGTAATACTACAGTCCCAATCGAAGACATTTGGAATGGCATCATAACGTGTACCTAAATGTTTTCGTAGACGATAATCCCTGAAATAAATATTAAAGCAGACTAGTTAGTTTAAAGCACTTCAAAATATAGTTTTCAGTTAGTAAAAAATCATTTTTTTGGGATTAAATCTGAGTAGGAAATAATAAAATAATTCAGACTGTATACTAACAAAGTGTATTAACTCCAGCTGCCAAATGAGTCTACATAATAGCCGGCCTTATTATCCCGGTACCATCACATCTCATCTAAGCAGCTTTTTGCCTTTACCTTTGGTACCAACTAACCCAAAAATATAATGGATGTATCGGCTTCCGTCTAATTAATCGAAGACCTAAAAAGCCTTAGGAGAGTATGCATATGATACTTTTAAAACAAACAAGACTCCATTAACCGATACTGTCTATTATTGATTTAACAAAGGAATATGCAAACTCAGAACTGTGAACTAGGTGATCACATTTCTCTGCAATAAAGTGGATAAAAGTTTCCATGAAAAGCAAGGTTCTTCTTGGAATAACATGATTAGAAATTGAACTGATGATTGAAGAGCGATGTGATACCCAAGATTTTGAGTAACATGAAGTATTTTGATCAATCTGAAGCCTATCTCTGAGGTAATTAACTACCAATTACTTGTTCAGCCGGTGATACTTCAACAAATCCAACATATTCCCGCAAACAAGGTATCTTCTTTGTAAATTTTTGTAATCACATGCACTTGAAACTAGATCGTTATAACAATTTTTATCTGTTTTTATCATAAATTATGGCTTTTGACTATAGTATTTTGAAAAACTGATCAGTCCCACTTTGGAAAAAATAAAATTCTAAAGGATAAGGTCATCTATTGTCCCTATTACTACGCAAAAGTAAAACTATCTAGTCAAAAAAAGAACCTAAAAAACTTTTGACTTGACTAAAGGAAACACTGTTGTTATGTTTTTCATCAAATCTCAGTCAGTAGAAGGAAAATTTGGAGAATCTCGACATATATTACACTCCAGATATCACTTAAAAACCTGAGATGATACTTTATTGTAAACTAACACCTGCCTTATAAACAGATTGTTAAGTGGTCAGTTTGTTCCAGTCCTGACCACAGGTATCAGATGGAAACTAAACACAGATACGGAAGTGACTAATCAGAGAAGATATTTCATTAAGTGAGCAAAGTATGTAGGTACCTATCAGGTCAATACAACGGTTTGTGTTATATTTTGCGCTGTGCAGTCACAGTGAAGGAGGTACAAAAGGTGGACAATAAAAGGAGGAATTATGTATCCCATCATAGATTGCTTTGAAGCTTCATAAATTAAGTACGCTATATCAATATGAAAAGTTATTTTTCTGCCGGCCGGTTGTATTATGCCATTGAGGTGTCTGATGCGTGTTATTTGCGTATTCAAATATGAACTATTCAAACTTGTAATGGTAGTTGATACAAGTGTAATTTGGTAGAAGCTACATCTAAACAAACAGTGGAAAAGAGACCACGCACAAAGACCACCTTTGTATGAGTCACATGCAGTAGCACAGGACTTATGTTTGCAAGCCCTGGTTAATATACTATGAAATTGATTATGAGGACATAGACATACTTATTCCTCAAGCTCTTCTGAAGTGTGAGAGCTTCGTCGCTATGCTTCCAATCCTTTACCTACTTCCTTACCGTTATTCAATTTACTATATTTCAGCTTCGAATAGATTTTAATTATTCCGAAATGCTGTTACTCATCGTAGCTGTTGCCAATATTCTACTACAGAGAGAACAGGCTTTGGTTATACGGAATTCGAAAAAAGACGATTTTTCATCCTCAACCATGACGTCTTCTAATGGTAAGCAGTCCTTACAACAAATCAAACCATTCCAAGACAGACCAGCTGTGGTCTGGGCGCCCGGACAGTATCCCAGCTCTCACACAAGATATGAACTGTGAACCTACAATATGAAAAGATTTCGAAGCTATCAATCAACCTTTCTGAGAATACTGAAGCTAGCAGCACTGTAGACGTTTTAACCAGCTACCCAATTTATTACTGTTATATTGTGTTTTTGTTTTTATACGTGAAACATATTTTTTTATTATTACTAATCTCGCTTTCGTCTTTGTCTTCACTTCACTTCACTCAGCTGCTCTCCACTGCTTAGAATTCTGGTCCGTCTGTACCGCTTTGAGTCACTGAACAGTTGTACCCATAAAGTTGCTCTCTGGTGTGCCATTTGGCGCAGCTTTTCTGAAACCGCTTATAACATTTAAGCTCGCCAATTTCAACGTTTGCATCTTAATGCATATCAGACAACACTCAAACTTGGCTTGGACTGCGGAAAGCCTCGCTACTGATGTATGCTACATCTCAGAGCCCCGGAGACTAGATCATATTGAAATGCCTCTAATTGGCTCCCCATCTGTTAGCTTGTAAAGTATGTTTTACGTGCGCTTATCCGAGTACCGGCATCGGCAACGGGCCTTCCTGATGTTATGTTTGACTAAGCATTCGGGCCGAAGCTGCACTACTTGACTAGATTCCCATCAACAGTCATCTATATGCGGTTAGGCTAGAAGGTTCAACTCCAGTAAAAATAACCGGTAAGAGAAATGATGTCTCTTTGTCACCTCTCCTTATGCTATGACGGATTCCAGCCCGGATCTAACCAAGGATCAATTCAATCGTTAACTGAGTGACCTCAACCAAATGCCCTCGACAGATATCGTAGTGCTAGTGCTAGATGGGGACTAAAGTGCGCAGTTAGGGTGTCTGGACTCAGAAGAGAGTCATTTAGGTAGCCAGTGGGGACTAGCTGGCCGCAGATCGGATAATGGGGATCATGTTCTCCAGCTTTGCATAGATCATAACCTATTCCTAGCTGTCACCAATTTCTGTCACATCCATCTCTGTTGTGTTACTTGGTATCCTCCCTCTGCCACCGAAGCCTGGACTCAAAAAGATCATATTTCAATCAGCTACCGATGGCGTGGGTGCGTCCAGGACCGCTACTCCTTATGGAGTACTTATTTGGCCTCGGATCATACTTTAGTGTATGTTAAGCTCGTCTTGCGTTTTGGTGGTCCTCAAAATCGTTGTCTTAAACATGTCGATCCAAGCAAATTAGTTGCACCCAACATTGCAGCTAAATACCAATCCAGGCTAGATTTAAGGCTAGCTAATGATCCTCCAGAAAGTGTAGACGAGCTTTGGCTTCATTTACGAGATGCCATAAAAATGGCAAGTAAATCCACTTGTGGCTTGGAAGAAGGTTCCGCTACTAAATGCTGGGTCTCTATCAGCTCCCTAAAAATTCTTGATGCTCGTCAGACCACTTCGGCGGATGAGTATAATGGCTGGTGTAAGTCTCTTACACAACGCTTACACAGAAACCGTGAGGCTTAGTGGTCAAAATGCGCGAGTGAGATTCAAGCAGCAGCTGCATCTGGCAAAAGTTAGAAGCTGTCATAGTTCATCCGAGCCACTGACAGCAAGAAGACAGCTGTCAGTTAGGTGGTCTGTGAGGTAAAAGGTATGCCAATAAGGAATCTTTAGGGATGCCTGGAACGCTGGGTGGGGCACTTAGAAAAGTGGTCTGAATGGCCCACGGCTCCAGCATTGTCAGCTTCAGTGTATCGTGCTACTTGGTCGTTTAATGCTGACCGACTTATGAAGGCGTAAGTCCATAAGGAACTCCAACTCCTGAAACGGAACACAAGGCAATCGGCCCAGACAACCCACCACTGGTTCTTTCTAAGGATGGAGGAACGAGTCCAGTCAACGACCTAAATAGATTGATTGGGAAGATATGGCACTTTGAGAGTGTTCCATCACTCTGTAATGAAACCATCATTATGCCCATCTTTAAAAACGGTCTACATAATGTACGTGACAATCTTTGGGGTATTAGTCTGTTACCAATCACATCGAAAATATTGGCAGCTATACTTCGCAGACTTTGCAAACACCTGAGAAAATGATTCGCGAAGATCTGGCTGGGAAGTGGATGCACTGACCATCTGCTTACTCCTTACCAGATTCTTGAACATCTCTATGTGTACTGCAGACTAACAACCAATTTTTTTCCCGACAATAGGACTGCCTTCTATTCGTTGGACAGACCTGTACTCTGGAACTGTTTGTTGGAGATGGGTTCGCGTGAGAAATTTATTAACATCTTGAACCTCATATATAATGACACCTCAGGTAGAGTAAGGGCATACAACCACTTATCTCCACTGATGTAAACCAGCAGTAGGTTTAGGAAGGGTTTTCTGGTTGCCATCGTGACATTCTTGAGACAGCTCTGAAGAAAGTGCGTCATGGTGTTGTAGACCAACTACCCTAAGAATGGCTATTCGACCTTGAATATGCTGACGATATCTTCTTACTATGCGTAACACAGGCTGCTCAAGTCACACTTAGTCAGCTGGCGATTCGTGTCCGTAAGTATGGTATATGCTTTGAACCAAAGTACTCTATCAAGATTGCCAGGAGCCTGTGTCCAGGTGTACCACTAAATGCTACAAAATAACTCCAAAAAAGATAGTTTTTATGACCGAACCACTACCCAGTGTCTATCGATTAGATTTTTAATTGACATGGATACAACACGTGATTTCACACACCGAATAGATGTTGGTTCCGATATCAGTCGTGACCATCCCAGTATCCTTGAAGTGACTACTAACAGTATGCAGTCTACTATATTATTAGGCTGCGGACACTTCCTGAAATCATAGGAAGCTGGCGGAACAACAAATATTTATAAAGAAGATACAGGGTCTAACCTAGCAAACTGCATACCAGTGACAGCACTTGGGCATGTTTCTAAAAACCTATAAACCCTCGTGCACAATGGCCCACTGGATTTCTTCACAAATATACAGTCCGATAGAGTCGGACAACAAGGCTTCACAAAGTGCCGTCCATATATGATTCATCTGTTTATAGTAATTAAACGGTTGGAAGCTGCAGATCAAGATGAAAAACGTACTAGATATTATCTACTTAGGCGTTGGAAAAGTCTTTATTAGTGTCAGTCACCATCAACTACTCGGTAATGATTGCTTCCGGTATCCATCGGCTGCTCATAGCTTGAATTGGCTCATATCTATAGAAGCGCCACTTTATGGTACAAGTCAAAAACTGCAACTCGACCCCGCATTTTTATAATAGTGACAACCACAGGGCTCATCACTCGGCCGCCTTATGCCTTAGATTTACATCGAAGACCTACCAGAGACTCTTGAATAGCTAACGGTGTCGTTTACCGATAACCTAAATGCCTGAGGAAAAATTTGAGACGTATGTGATGGCAGTACATTGCAACAGAAATTAGTGGGAACAATCTAGTGAGCACCAGGAAACTAACTAGAAGTCAAAACAACTGGGTGAAAATGCTGGAAATGCCACCAGTATACTGTAAAAAGTAACGCATTTCTGAATGTTAGTGAATAGCATGACCTAAAAGTGCTGGCACCTGAAAACCTTAATACATCCACCCATACATCTAAAACTGTCAAGAAAGGGCAGCCCAGCGTTAGGAACGTCCCTTAAAGTATTCACTAGATTCGTGAGATAAGTTTATAATTCTATACATCTACATCTGTTCATACCTACAATATTGTACAATCGCATACCCATCTAATTCGGTGAGCAACAACTATCGACTAGATGACGTTCAAAAAAATCAAATTAGATGACACTAGGTTTCTATACCTTCCTAAGATGAGAGAATAAAGTTAATCAATTTATTCCGTCTTGAATGTAGATAGCGTTGGAGCAACTTTATAATACTCAAGGACACTACGCAGTTTAACAGAAATATGCAATTAAAATAGGCTTAGAAGACATCAGCAGAATTTCAAATAACAGTAACTGAGATGTGAAATGAATAAAGGTTTATCAGATGGAGTACTGAAAATCTGAATAAACCTTCTACGTCATATCATTTCTTCATCTTCTGTTGACGTCTTCATGATAAGATAATGAATGCAATTCACACTACAACCCTGAATAAAAAATAATGTCGTCAGAAAGATGATTTAACTTTCCTAGCAGTGGAAAATACGTAAGATACGATCATCTTGCAGGCCATAGCTTTCATTGACCATAATACTTCTGTAAACCATGTACACCAACTACTCTCGACGCCGTCTTTTGAGTCTTCTTGAGTTGCTGCTTACTCTCAACTCTATATTCCTGCGTATTCCTCTTTATCTTTGCTCCCTCTTTCTGTCCATTTTGTTCCTGCACACTATGGGAGTGCATTTTCATACATTCTTATTGCTTCAGTCATCCAATAACAATTGAGACGATCAGTCGAAGTTGTCTATGTAAATAAATAACTTCAAACTTTAGCCTTTAGCTTAAAAGTTGTACTATGAACTTATAAAATTTCTTGAGATTAGCACGCTTAAAAGCGTCCATGGCAATAAAATATGATGGAATAAATGAAAGCAGAAATAAAGTTATTATATAGAAGTACAACTCCATCAGGAGATACTACCTCCTAGCTCCCCAGGAAACAAAAACTAACCTTGAGTTTTGCGTTATTTTAGCAATGTAGTAACTCTATACAATGAATAAAATCAATGAAACTAAATTATTGTAGATAGTGTTCAACTTAGATATGACTCAAGATCGTCATTTATTCAACCCCTAAGCTCAAAATTAGGTAGTTGTCAGCATCTGCAGACGTTGCATAATATTCAAATTAGGAGCATTTTACACCGACCTTATCATGAAGCATAGAAAATCATGACAAAGTACTTAGTCAAGGCATAAAAACATGAAGTGTAATGTCATAAAATATTACAAACGAGAGAATCCGGACCACTGAACCCGTCTCTAGGGGCAAACAAAGATAAGTAGTCTGTTATATTAGATTTGCCAACCATTAAGTGTAAAACATTAAGATGGATAACCGTGGTTTAGTGGATTTCTGCTCCAAAGTGAGTATGCACTTACCAGCATTTGGAAGCGTCAAACATAGTCCCTTCACTTCCGCGCCAGAATTTAAGAACTAACTCTAGCATATCTCTTTCTTTAAATTTAAGATATGAAAGGTCGATAAAATCCAATGATGAGGGCCCTAAGTTTGTCACCGCCCTATATAAAATGAAAAAATGAAATTGAATGGAATTAAACCTTATTAGTCTGTTGGCTGCATGCACTAAATATCTGGAAGAAACATCCCGAATCATCATATTGCCAAAAATTTCAAGATATGTCTCCGACTTCTCTTTTAGGTTAGATTATAAACTTCTTTATTACCCTGCAGACCAAATCTTGTGCTTGGCTCCATCGCCATATATAGCTGTAACATCAGTTTAGCATATGTTTCATGGAATGCCTCAATTATAAAAAACTAAAAAAGATCATCGGTGAACAGATAACAGAAATACCGTTTTAAAATTCTCTGCCTTTGTGAACTCTGAAGACATTGTTTTCAAGATATGTCTTGAATCTCCCATCCCGATGCAGAGGAAGTTGTCACCTATATCATTCATGTCACAAAATAATACTTCAAATAAATAGGAGTTACCAGCTATACAGTCATTTTCAACAGGCAGATACTCGTTTGCACATTCCAGGAAGTTAACTGCAGGGGATAAACCCCACCATATTATATTTCCTAGTGCATGTTCAGTGTTTTCTACCATGGCAACGGCAACCCAAACAAATCTTATTTTACCACCTAATATCCCATCCAAAGTTTAATATCTGTTTTCAATTTCCAATATCTTTAATCCAGTTGGTAAAAATAAATTGACTTCTTTGTGCTCACAACCACGTTATGCGCGATGGCTCCAGGTTTTCGATGAATTGAGATGCTGTAGATTAACCCACTCACTTGCTGTATCTCTGGTTAGCCCAATGAACTGTTGATGTTCATAAAACTTGTAGGGATTGTATGATTTGTCAGGGACTGTGGTGTATGTGGGTTCCCCGAGTGTCGTGCCACCAGATGGTTGTTCGGACTGGCAGCGAAAGGAAGACATAAACGAAGAAAAGATGTCCAGCGGATTCATCTAAAAAGTGCAAAACATCAAGGTGAAAGGAAGCGGAACAGGAGGAAAGAAGAAATCCAGATGAAGGGAGATAACATTGATAAGGGGAACCCTGATAAGTAGGATGAAATGGTAGAGCCAGGGGGAAAAGAAGGTGTGAGTAAGATTATAGGACGGACTATGGGAACAGAAATAATAATTTTGTGAGTGGGGGTTGTAAACCGGACATATGATGTCTAGTAGGGAAGCATAAGGTTAAGTCAAGTTCGTTGTGATGGTGACAGTACAAAAGATTCAGTGCGGGGTTGACCGTAATGGACTGTGTAGAATCAACTGATCGTACCGACCTGGCCCATGTCCCACCTGGATGAGCGTAAGCCATACGGTAGGACTACACCAGCAGGATGACTTGCATTACTCAGAATTTTGTAAGCCACTATCAAGCCGCTGCGTGACCTATTGCAACCGAGAAAATAAAGAGCTAGATCTTCCAGTCTGTCTTCTTGGGGATTTTGGTGGATTTCCACGATATGCGTTGTTGCTCACCTCTGAACTTTCTCCCTGAGGTCCACATCCGTTTCCAGGCATGGTGGTGCAACGACTTTGTGAACCTCTAACTGAGGCTGTATTTAGGTCTTGCGTGGCTCCAGAATGAGTTCCAGAGTTTTCTCCAGACTAAATTCTGTACCGCGCAGGCTTTGGAGGCACCTTCCGGATCATCAGAGCGGGTGCCTAGCCTGTCAGTCAGTGTTAGTCCCAGGTCTTTCTCCGTAGTCTCTTGGGAATCTTGTGTGCAGCAGGTACATAATGGGACACCCTTCGCAAGTTGCAGGTGTATAAGAACACGGTTCGGGGGCTGTCTAGGCTGGACGTTAGTTTGTTGTTGCCCACCCACTCTGCAAGCTATCTGAAACAACTTTTTAGTACGCCTGATTCTGTTTCGGGTGTCAGCTCTCCATAACTTAATACTGTCTGCGTCAAGTAGAATCAGGGAGCCGAGAGTCTATGGGAGGTCGTTCACAAAAGAAGGAACACCAGCCGATCCAGAATTGCTCCTTATGCTACACTAAATAAAGATATTCTCCAGGTTGCCCAACAATTAATAATTTCGGTTAGATGACTGAATTTTTAGTTTTGTCAAAGGTGATGTCAACGGTTCCGATAGTTTGTAGTCAGAGAGACTCTTTCCTTTCAGGCCTTTATAACACAAGCCCCTCGGTTGAAGGATTTTCACTCCAGCGTGAATCCAGATAGGTTATAGGGGTTTGCCTCCAGCTGCCACTTAGGGCCTGCCCGGAACTACTTTCCATCCTCCCCCACTTTGTATCAGCTCATCAGGGCCATCCACATAGGTGGTGAGATCTTACTCTTTTCTGAAGGTCCCCTATTTACGTCATTCTTTTTTCTTGGCCTTCAAGAGGCATTCAGAGCTTCGTTTCAGCAGTGAGGCTCACTTTTTGATGGGGTGTTAGTTGATTTTATAGCGAGGTATATGGCCTATCTTCGGGCTATGGATCAGGTAGAATTATGAGGTGTTATATTGCTAGGCAGCTTTTCTAGCCGATCGTGGAAGGAAGTTAAGGAGAGTGGAAAAATAGCCAAAAAGGAAGAATAGAGAAAGATGAAAACAAAGGGGTGAGAAAGAACAACGGAATGGAAAGGGAATTCTGGGCAGATTCATGGTAGGCTGGAAAGAGAATGGTTGTATAGACGGTTCAGATGAATAAGGTGAAGCTGCACACAGACACAAGAAGAGGCAGAGGCAGATGGAATTATAGTAGGGTTAATGGAAATGGAAATGTTATTGATACTATTGGTGATATGGTAACTGATGAGGCAAGGCGTCTACTAAACAGGCATAAGGTAGGGTCGGGGCCATGATAGTAGTGGCAGTGGAGGAGAATCGGGTAGTGAGATCACGAAGTTGGACTCGTGTGGATTCAGTCCATTGTTTCGCCTGGTCTGCATCCCAAGTGGATGGGTTCGAGCGGTGGGTCACTGAACGGCACTGCAAGCACTTCTTGAGGCTACCAACAGATGGATAGGTAGCCACCTCAACGGCTAATAACCTTCAGAGACCGAAGATTCGAAGAGAAAATGGCGGGTGCATCTCCGTCATAACTCCCTAATAGGAACTGCTCTTTGGGTTTCCAAGAGAATAATAATAATGACAGCCCGATGGAACCCCACTCTTCCAGTGATTTGGACTCCTTGACACACTTTGTGGCTTTCCCTAAGTCGCCCCGCAACCCACGGTAACTAAGATTCTTAAGACCTAGATTCTTTAGCCTATTCAAGTAAGATTTTCCTGAGTCCTTACATCACATCTTGTGGCTGGCTTCTTGGCCTCCTCTAGAAAGTTCACGACCCATTTCGATTTTAGTTGTGCAAAAATATTGCTAAACTCTGAGTGGGCAACCATTTAGGCCTCATAGAGCTTCAGAAAGTGCTTCAGGGCAGAGTAGCCAGTCGTCCATGCATGAAGTTTAGTAGTGCGTGAGTTCTGAAAGCGTCAACCGGATAATCTGAGCTATTGTCTTGTTAATCAGTCAGTATTAGACGGTGGTGGTCGTGCTAGAAAGATCCATGCCGCAGAGATAGTAAGATACCCTTCGCGGGTGAGTAGTGCGGAAAAGCATGGAGCGGCACGCATACGGGTAGATGCCAGACCGTTATTTTCATCCATCTTTCAAGCATTTTTGTGTCGCCCTGTAGTGAGCTCGGTTCTCTTTTGGATGTCTCCAGAGTCACCGAAACTTGATGGCAGGTCATTCACGCGAATTAGGAACACTAAAGCGCCAAGACTTGCTTTTTGTGATACTCCGCACGATGAAGCCATTCAAATGGACCCTGTGAACCTTTAAATGGAACTACCGATCGCCTAAATAGTCCCTCATTCGGGAAGCCGCGTGGACGCCGGTGCCCTACCTCGATATTTCGGTCATAAGGACAGCAGATAGGACTGTGTTAAGTGCCTTCTCAGGATCCAGAAGAATCACATAGATAGAAATCTGGAGGTCCCTCAAGGTCTTTCGCTTGTCACAGGCTGTTAGATGGTTCAAGGTGCCGCATCCACTCTCTCAGGAGCTATATTCAGCATCACTTGGTGCCCGTTTTCCTCCAAGCACTCGGCATGGTAATCCATTACACCATCCATTTTTCTAGACAAAATTGGCAGGGATGCAACAAGTGGATATCAATCAGATCCTGCCTATTTCCTCATTTACAGACTCAAGACAGAATGGCACGTTTCCACTTCATTGGTAGTTGGCATTGATTTAAGGACTTAAAGAGCTAGCCACACAGGGCACTCACCTATTGTTTTAGCACAGATAGGTGAAATAAGCCAGGCCTTGTGAATTTTTCTTCTCAAGGCTCTGGCAGTTTCTGAGAACCACAATGGTAGTTTTCCAGAATCTATGTAAATTTTCTGCAGTGGGCAGATTCGAAGGTTGTTCGGGCTGCTGGAACTTATGGTTGAGTGATTAGATATTTGGCTACCTGTCCACAGTGGCGTTAGTCATTTCGCAACCCAGGGAGGCTTTATTATTCGGTCCTTTAATTGTACATGCTCCCTACTTAGGAGACCTCTTCGTTATGAGTCGGTGCGGTTCCTTGGGGTTTGTGTTAAGCTTCTAGACAAGCTCGTATCGAACAAAACTTCTATATCTCCTACACCTTGATGTTGCATTGGCTCCTATGAGTTATATATACACTACGAACTGAGTGTTTTGTGGAAAGCCCTGTTTTGTGCCAACCTTTCCTCTTCGTTCCTAATAGGCTCTGAATGCCTCATTTTAGCCATGATATCAGCTCCATAGGTGCCGTTGCCATTAAGGGATATTTTCAGAAATCTTTCAACTAATGACTTCCTCTATTGTGTCTTAGTGGCAGACAAGTGATCAAAAACCCCACTCCTAAATCAATGGCTGTGTTGAAAGGTAGTTCAACACCACATACTCTGCCATTGCCGTGCCAGAGCGAAGCCCAATATCCTTCCCATGGTGCTTTTTGCTAGCTGCCAGGTAAAATAATACTCCGGCATGATTGCTGCTGTAGGGAGGGGTTTGAACCTGGGGGCGCCCTACTGTCAGATGGTCACTGGTTCGAAAGCAATGCAGTTTTGATAGCTATCCGCCTAAACCACAACATCTGCCATCACCGGTGTTTTCATAAAACCCAGCTTTTTTGATGGCACTGAGCAGGTTTTGACTAAACGTCTTCCTATAAGTCGTTGCCCCACCTCAGATTGAGAGTTAAGGCATTGAAATCCCGTACCAGGATAACCTCATTGAACCCCGCGGTCATCACTAAGGCTATTACTTGAAGCAGTTGTTGACTCTTTCCCATGTTGATACCAGAGATTCGATAGGTCCTCCTACCAGACACTTAGTGTGTCTGACAGCAAAGTAGCCCTGGACTGGGCCCTGAAGTACACTGTCAGTAGGTGGTCCACTTCTGAACTAGTAAGTCACGCATAATGACATTCTACCTCCCACCATGTGTCGCTAATCTCTCCTGAACACAAACATACCACTCATATTCGCTTCGTTGCCTTAATATTCAGTGATCATCAAGTTTCTGTCGGGGCTGCGAGGTGGGGGTGGAGGGCAATCGCTCGGCTGTCCTAGCTCCAAGTTCCCTCGCGTTGCCACAAAGATAGCGGGAGGTACTTCCTACAATGTGGGGCATTCTAGTAGCGAGTGAATACAAGGGGTTGTGTGCGTTAGGGTTAGGTGCCGCTATCTGGGTGGCTTCACTGGAACCGGACCAGTCGCATTTTCTCCCAGAATAGCATCTGCAGTCGTCGTTAGATCAGATTTGTAAACTGAGTTACTCTAATACGGTGTGTAATAACGATGGCCTTGTCACAAAAAATTCCCACTTGTCACTGTCACGACTTTCTTGGTCTGGGTTCACAATTAAGAAGATTCGTGCCGATAACTTCCTTTCCTATGTGCTATTTACAGCACCCCGTTCAGGTTCTCTGGGCATCTGAAGTTGAGAGCTCTCAGTCTAGGTAACGCAACTTTTGTCGGAAGCCATGGTAATGGGTGCCAACGAATCGCTGTGGCGGCAATTACATTCAACCCCATACCTGCAGACCGCCAATACCGATGCTGAATGTTACGGTGTATTTTTCTCCTCATTCACCAGTTGTCAATTCTGGTTTTCCGCGGATGACCATAGCTGCTGGTCTTTTCTCGTGTTGGGAGCATAGCAAAGTGACGGTTTCCGGACTCTCATTTCAGTGTCTTCAGACGGTGTTCATTTACCTTGTTTTTGCTCCTACACGGAAGTCCTTTCCGTTAGCCTAGATTTATCTCTTTACGCTTTGGTTGTCTGTGGGTTGTTTCTTCTAGTAGCTTTGAATCAGTGTGTGTAAAAATACTATGAAACAATTAGGGAGACCCATGGTCTTTTCTCAGTTGCTATCTCTGTGGCAACCCAGGTTGTGGCAAAATAGCCAAAATCAGCAGTGAGCAATCAGAAAGAACTACCTATGTGTTACAGAAGAAAGAAGAAGAATTGCTACATTTACATGGTGTCAGGAAAAGTGAAGTCCATGAAAATGATAAGACAGTATTACATATATGTTTCTGTGAGTTGATGTAGTCAAAAATTCTCACCGTAGGTTGGCAGAAAACCGTACGTGCTGACTTGTTTATTCAATGATTCTCTCAATGACTTTGCTATGGAAGCCATCTCTTTATCATGTGGTAACACACAACACATAGCTCATACCATATGTAGAAAGTAGTCGACTGTGACCCCAGTGATAACTATTCAGTCTTCCAAAATTAAGTTATCATGTATTTATCTTTTCAGTGCCGATTCTCTGCATTTCATGGTTCACCTGATGACCAAATCTTATGCTCTGTTGTTAGATCACCTCATCTCTTATAATGATAGTTAAAAGTGGATAGGTGAAGTTGCCAGCGGCGCTCTCGAAGTCGCTTAAATACACAGCATCAAACATTTGTTTCATGAGTCCGCACAAACACAGTCGACCACTTCACTCCCAATTGCCAGAAGCGGCATCAGAGCAAGCAAGTTCAAGGCAAAATTAGCTGTCAAAACTTGCACTTCGTTCTGCAATTTCAAAAATATATTAAATGTTCATTTAGAATACACACGCACAGCTTCACATTGAACACCTTTGACTAAACCTACTTTTTGCGAAACGAACTTTCCTGTTGTTATGATGCAAGGATCACAAATTATGAGCTATCAAGAGTTGATATGATAACGAGAAACAAATTCCGCCCAAAATGTTATCTAGTATGAAAGGAATTCAACTTCAAGTGAAATGAGAGAAAACTACGTACGTAGGCTTCAAGCTCAATGGAAAATAACTCGAATCCGTAAGTATTAAGCAAGGATAACAAACGACAGCTCGTACAATAACTAATGAAGTGGATTACTTAACGGCATATCATAAGAATTGTAAACTGATCATTTTCAGCCAATGACAGCAATGGCACATACACAAAAGTTACTACTGTAAACTTAATGTAGCTCAGAAAAACTGTTGTTAAAGATAAAGCAAACAATTAAGTATTCGTAAAATGTATCAGAAACACTACACCAATCGACCTAACTACTGGATTGCATGAAAAATTTACACAGAATTCGGTAGTTGGTTAACACGTTGCATTATCTCCGGCTTCAGTAATTCAAATAAGAGGATCTCCATACCATATATGGTTATCAAGATTCAGTAAGAGAGCTTCTAGAAACCCGATATCAAGATAAAGTAGCAATCGATATACACATGAGCTTAGAACGAATTTAAAGTCTCATCAGTCAGTTAAAAACTGACGAATTTAACTGGTAGTCAAGTATATCATTGGCAACATACGTCATAATCTTCTGTCAACAAAAATTTATTCTGGTGATACTAAACATACTTCCTTGTACTTAAAAGAACCAAGAAAAACAAAATGTTGTGAAATCAGTATTGAAGTTGGCTAATTCGACTACGAAACATGCACAATCAAACTGAAAAGTTAAAAGACCACTATATACTAGGTAAAAGGAAGACTAATCTAAGACATGAACAGATAGATGTCTTCAAATGAAAGGTTTGAATGAAGTCAACTAATCTTAGGGATTTTCATTGCGGGCTGCTTATCAGCTACAATACAGCTGGAAAGTAAACAATCCTAAACAGTAGTTTTGTCCTAGTTTAAACTCTATAATAGGCTGGATTCATTAACTTACCCGGTATCCACTTAAGCAACACTAAGTCCTGTCATAACCATGTTATCAATCAACCGATATTTTCTAAAATTCTAATATAGACCTGATAAGAATGACTTCATTCTTGAAATGGTGAATTCCATAAATCATAACTTTGTATAATAACTGTAACAGATTCATCTTGACACTTGTCAATAATAAGCGTTAAATAAGTGGGATGATGCTTTCAATCCATTGAGGATAGACGAAAGTTAAGAAGACAATAGGTCCTACTATAGAACTCACTGTTACAACCTCAGTCCACTGTTAAATATTCTCTAAAAAGGACAAGATGCTTATTCCCCTTTACCAGCTTGATATAGATTCATGATAAAAGATCCCAAGTGAGAAACCATTCAATTTTTATAATTGATTTGCTTCAGATGAATTTTTCAATGATTTCAGCGGAAATAATCAACAATTTTTTTAGAATAGAGACAAATACTCACTTATGTGATTAAATAACAGTCATGAAATATTGCATAATCGATAAAAGATTCATACTTGTATGTATACCATAGAAATAATATTCAATTGAACAAAAAAGCACCGGAAAAGAACAAGTTCAACACCATATTCTTTATATGTCCACAGATCAATGTACAATATTTACATGTTTAGCTGCGATAGTTCATTGCTAAAGTATACTTTTTTGAAATTAACGGAATGGCTTTAAACTTAGTCAAAATTATGATATGACAAGCATATTTAAAAAAAAAACAAAAACAACAACACAATAACAACAACAACAAAAAGATGGAACTAGGCATAGAAAACAATAAAAACGAAAAAAAAACTAAGAAAGGAAAAATAATCAATAAAAAGAATGAATTAATTCCTGGATGATATAAAAGAGATATGTGGTATTTTGTTTTCTCTACTCCTTCCAAGGAATCGATTAGATTCAAAGAAGAAAAATAAAAAAAGAAAGGAAACAAAGCAACACAAATTAAATTTCATGGAAAGATTAACAGTTAGTTTAGTATGAGATTAAAGATACTTAGATAATTGATCGCATAAAGAAGAGGTTTTGAACATATGAAAGCGAAGTGATTGAGGCATTTCACACTGATATAACACAGAAACTTTGATGCATCTGTGCATGATTCGACAATGAGATCTAAAAATGAAGAGAAGAACAACCATTTAAAAAAAAAAAAGAAGCGATACATCATTAAGCATCTAATGGATAAAAAATACTGTACTGTAGATTGGAATATCTGATAGTAAACTGAAGCATTCTGAAAGAATAAAAACTTCTAAACAAACCTCTTTTGCCATTTCCTTCACAAGTCGGTATTAAAAAAATTCTATAAAGAAAGTAGGAAATGTGGACCATTGGATTCCGACCCAGTGACTCAATGGTAATATGCTGGTCACGAAACCTGAAGGTCCTGGGTTCGACCCCTGGCGGCGATGCGGTATCGTGGGTGCGCACTGCTGAGAAGTCCTACACTAGGAAGAAATAGCCCTCTGAGGTTTCCACTTTTCCTTCAAATGATATCAGTTCACGATAAATTCCAACCTAAAACCAACATTTACACTTCTTACAACCAAGATCACAAAGATGTAGTCTCTGAAACACAAGTGTCATAAAGTAACGAGACAGGCTATTGAATAACTTGAATAATCAAAAACTAATCAGGCTAATCGATAGCTTTCACTAGTCAGATAAGCATGATTCATTTGTTTATAATCGACTTCATTAGATGTGTACCAGGTTAAATTAAGCTCATAGAGCTAAATTGTTCAGACCACCTAACTATGGATAGCTGACTTACATGAACCGTTTTTACCCTAAATAGGATGATCAATTTGCAAATAATTTACTGACTCCATAGTACACGTTGATATTTTTAACTATTCAGCTGTGGGAAATGAGCAAAACTACTGTCTAGTGTTTAGATCACTTTTATCTGACTAGTGAAATCTATAGATTAGCCTGATTGGTTTCGAACTATTCACTTTATTCAATATTCAGTCCACTCAACAACGAAATAATATACAAACTATACCCGTCGTACAATAAAGTGGATATCGTGACTCGGTGTTCTAGTGGGCAATGCTCTGGTGTTTTAAGCGATCAGTCCCGAGTGGAAACGAAACCGCCCATTAGAAGGCAGGGACATCCCGCTGATGAGTCCTAAATAGGATGAGACGCTGGTCCTGGATTCCTTTGTTAACCACTATCCATCATTCACATATTATTCAGAGGTATCTTTCGCTAGTTCGTGACACATGTATGAGTGATCACATCTTGTGATCTTGACTAAATGGTTTCCAATGGAAACTGTGTTGATAAACACAGTTTGGCAGTCAACTGTAAGTTACTGATCCGATACTCTTTAAGCTAAATCGATAAATTTGACTATTATCTACTTTGTAACTAAGCTTTCAATCACGAATCACTCTAAAATGTTCAACAGATGTAACTAGAATGAAGTTATCTCAATAATTATTAAATTTGCGTAGAAACTTAAAGCGGATTATTTATTTGTCAAAAACATCAAGAAAATGCGAGCATCATGCAAAGTTTCTAAAGTGAAACAAAATTAAAATGAACAATGAAAGTGAGAATAATTAAAGCTTGAAGAATTCTGAATTTCTGAAGGTATGTTTTATTTTTCAAGTTGGTATTCATCATGGACTGACATACAACTTAGTTGGAGAAACATTGGAAACTTAGAAGTATTGGATAGTTGTTTCGTCCTGGTATGAGACTCCTCAGCAGCGCGTACACACGATCCGGCCATTCAGGGATCGAACCTGTGACCTTCTGGTTTCGTGGTCAGCACGCTGCAACTGAACCATTGGGTTGGAATCCAATGGTCCATATTCCCAACTTCTGTCAGTTCACGACACAGCGCGACTGCCACCCGATGTCATCGTTTTCAGTACTTGTCCTTACGGCCACCAGGTTTGTCCCACTGCTCACGACTTCTCATTGGAACTTCGGGAATCATCTTTTGAAGCTAGTCAGCAACGAGCACTAGTTTAATTGAATTTGGAGTCTATGGGGATTTACAGATTTTTCAAGTTAGTATTCATCATGGACTAACATTTTTTATTTGTTGTCTTAGTTTATTATATTATTATTATTATTAGTCTATTATATTTGTATCGCTCCTTGTATTACATCATGGGACCAAGAGATGCCTATGCAGAATGTGATCCTAAGAAAAACACAAGGAAAGCCTAAAATAATGGGAACCAAACCATGAAAGAGTTACTACAGTAGTGTCAAAGGTAAATCCACAAGAGCATTCACCACTTTTGTTTAACATCCCAGTAATAGGAGAAATGAGGAAGATGTTGCATGAATCCCATTAGTCTAGATATATTGAGGTATATCTGCTGTTGTCTGCTCTCTCGGACTCCACTTAGGAATCCATAAGGCATCTACAGATGTTCACCTACGTCGTCCAGTCATACACTGACCACCTAACCACTTTTTTCAATCAGTCACCAAACAGAGGAACAGTGAACCATGTGGCAGATACTAATATGACATACGTAACACATGTCCTGGATTCGAACTGTGCTTCATCAACTACCACTTGGCCAACCGTAACACACTACGTGTGATTCATTTCCGACCAGACAAACTTGTACACCGAAATGTTCAGTAGTACTTATTAATAGTGAGATCTAAGAAGCACATATAGTAAAAGGAATAAAAACATCCAGCAATAACATCTTCAAAAATTAAAAGAATATCAGATGCAGAGGAATCTGCCTTGACGAGATAGACTACACATACACTTCCCTAAGTAGTTTACAGTATCAATTAAAAAGTCCATGAAGTGATATGAAGTCTGTACTCGATCTAACTTTATACTAAACACTGACAATTTCACTGAAGATTTATGAGTTCATTAAAACTTTGCTCTATTCACATATTCATTGTAAATCTTTTTTAACAATCGCATCAATTACTAGAAAAACAAGCTGCTTTCTCAAACTTTCATTCTAACGAGAAATATGTCAAATCTCACTAATTCATTTCTAGAACAGTACGGAAAAAAAAAGAATATTGAAATGTATTCGGTAACCTTCTACACATTCATCCAATAGGCGATGAGATATAATTAAGGGTTAATGATACTATCTAACTCCCGAACCTTTGTAAGTGGGGCTGGGTTTGAATTTGTAACCCATCATCTTCGGAAATCAAATGCCTTGAATGACGAGCCAAAGTTACTGTGATTCGATAAAATATACAATATTACAACTCATAATCAAATTACTTTTCCCAAAGGTTTTCGGTTCGATCTCTGACAGGGTCATGGGTGCACACAACTCAGAAGTTCCGTACTAGGATGAAATGGTCGTCCAGTACACCCAGTATTTCTTCAACTGATGTCAGTCCACGATGAATACTAACCTGAAATCAATATTTCTTTAGTTCAACTTTTAAAATTCATTTGAGATTCACTTTTTACTACAAGTGTCTATTGAGATGATTTGCATCGACACTGATGCGCTTGACAACAAACCATTAAAAACTTACTACACTACCATAGAACCATTAAAAACACAGTTATGAACACTTCACTGTTTATTAGAAATGCCACAGTGAAGAAACAGTATCATTGTCCGATTTTCATGCCAGATGACTCCACAACTTTGAGACAAAGTTTATACAGCCCTAATTTCCTCTCCTTCTTTGTGATGACAAGGGTAGTAGAATTTTCCACATATCTGGAACAGTTGCAGAATCATTCCTGTTGCTGAATGTATTTAGTGTTGATTCGATAAACAAAGATTGAAACAATTAGTCCCTTTAATAAATTTCGATAACGCTATTAGAAGATGAAGATTATCTGAAAAATGTGATGTATTTGCGCAATACATTTCGAACAATCTGATCTCCCACACATTTACTTGTCAAGTCTCTTTTTTTCTAGCCATTTGGGTATGTGTTCACCCACCCTAGTCTGCATTGAACACATACCCAAATGGCTAGAAAAATAGTTTAACACACAAACTTTGATAAGTGCAGATGACAGACATCCATCGTCATCTATAGCAAAACATATTATTGAAAAATGAATCACAGGGTTAATACGAAAACAGCGTTTAAGATAATATACAGGAATAATTAGGGGCGCATACTGAAGTTTGCCGAAGCGTTAGCCATTCGTAAACTTAATCCCCCACTGTGTGTACAAAAACAATTTGTTGTTTCACTTAATTTACCTTGGTAATCCTTGATAATCTGATTATATTACCAAGACTAGTGTCACAACCTTTTCACAGTCATTATATTTGACCTTTCATTTTCATATATAAATTGACTTAACAAGTAAATGTGTGATCAGATTGTTCGAAATGTATTGCGCAAATACATCACATTTTTCAGATAATCTTCATCTTCTAATAGCGTTATCGAAACAAAGATTGGGTTATCAATCTCTCCCTCCAAAATTAGTTTTTGACTCTGTCGTTGTATCATCCCACCCCTACTGTGTAATTGCGTACAGAGGTATAGCCAAGCTTTTCTCTAAATTTCTTATCTTATTACGATCTACTAATCTTGATTTAGCTAAGTTTTGTGCTCTGTCATTCTAATCGACTATGGTCGACTACTTTGACCTATCAATCATTGCAAGGGATTTGCTAAACCGGATTATTTTGCTTAATTCCATCAATAGGATCTTCTAACCTACGAAGCTTGTTTCTAAACAAGTTTGTTAGTTAAAATGCTACTTTAATCCCAGTCAGACATAATGAGAATTCTTCGTATTGATTATGAGGTGCCTACTTTATATGGTAACACATCAGAGGCTTTGAATTCTCTCTCAACCTTGTCATCATTATTACTACTAGTAGTAGAATTATTATGGATAACACCTGTACTATTAGTACTCTACTGGTAATATTTTTCTTTCGATTTCTTATAAATTTAGGTGGGTAATTATTGAGACGTGTAAGGTATTCTTGATGTGTCTAGTTTCTTGACGTAGATTTTGTGATCTACTAGTAAGCTTTTCCACCCTATCACTCAGGCAGTTAAGTAAGCCTAACTCAACTCAGATAGGATGGCGGGATTTAAAACCTAAGTAGCCATTCGTATGGGAAGGTTTCCTATAGACGACACTAGTCTCTAAACTTTCATCTTATGTTCATTTAATCTTACAATCTAACAAAATGGAATTACAATCTACTATAGTGTACAATTTTTACTCTTATACAGTTATGAACACTTGAAAATCGTGTATTAAATGAAAAAAAATATTCATCAAAAGTGATTACCTTTACAAATGATGAATAGATAAAAGAAATAATGAAATTTTATGATTCTGATGTATCAGATATAATATTATGTTGTTTTGAAACTGATTGATCATTTATTGTTCTATTTGTACAATCATCAAGTTGATAAGTATTTCCAGTTGAAGAGAATTTATTATCATTCGATCCAGTATGAAAATCAGAATAATACACATTTTGATTCTGATAATAACAATGTGGTGGATATGTGTTTAAGGTAAGTAATTGTATTAATAATTTATCACATTGTACACCATTTATAAATTCATCTAATGAAAGACGATCATCACCATCTAAATCCATAAGTTGAAATATCTTCTCTGTACGCCGTTCTGGTGTAGCCTCAGAGTCAGTAAATTCAACAGCTGATCCAATCATAGAATATATAGCCTAAATGAATAAAACAATTTTTTTTTCTTCTTTCAATAAACTAGTTATTCTTCAAAAGACGAAGAAAATTCTTTTTCTTTCTCTCTCTCTTCAAAGTATAGCGCAATATAAACTACCACTTAGTTATTTAATAAACAAATGAAGAGCGCTTAAACAATACAAAATGATATTGATACTGGACAATGATAATTGAAATGAAAATTTTTAACCGCAGCCAAATTCGAATCAGTGATCACCAGGTCTCTAGCTCAATGCTCTATTAACTAACCTATGAGGATTTGGGCAAAAACTTGATCTATCCTACTTTTATTATTCTTCTACCTTTTTTTAAATTCGTAGCTATATACAGGTCAAGTTAAGGCAATGGATGGAAAATGATTTGATATGCTAACAATTCTAATGTTTATATTTATTATAATTTGGTTGGTTATGGCTAGCAGAAGAATCCAGGACGCGCATTTCGTCCTATTTGGGACTCATCAGCTGGATGCACCTGCACCCCAGTCGGTGATGTTGTTCCCACTAACACTCGAACCTCATACCCTTCGCTTCAAATAACAAGGCATTATCCACTATGCCACGGAGGAAAGATAGCCACTTCTTGTACAACGGGTTATAGCCATCACTACTTATTAACATACTTATTATTCTTCGTTGTTTTGTTGAATCGAATTTTTCGACCTCTATTGGTATATGGGCAGGTGTGCGGATGCCTTAATGTTGCCTGAATGTTAATTATGATAAATTGGTTGGTTGTGGCTAGCAGAAGAATCCAGGACGCGCGTTTCGTCCTATTTAAGACTCGCCGGCTGGATGTACCTGTACCCCAGTCAGTGACATTGTTCCCACTAAGACTCGAACCTTGTATCCATCGCTTCAAACGCAAAGGTGTTATTCACTATATCAACTAACTTATCATAATTAATATTCAGGCAACATCGAAGCATCCGCATATCAGGCCATATGTCAATAGAGGTCGAACAATTCGATTCAACAAAACAATGGAGAATAATAAGTATATCAATAAATAGTTTATATTTATTCCTAAAATGCATATGTACAACTAGAGGACGACTATTTGACAAGTGTCGATTGAAAATTTGGTTTGTCAATCATTACATTTTTAAGAAATACACTAGTCTGTTGTTTCTTAACTAATTGATTGATAGTGAAACGTAGTTTACACCTACACTGTGAAAAACCTAAAATTTAGAGGAAGTAAAACTAAAACAGTGTAATCATTAGCTATCGAACTGATGATGGACATCAGGTAGATATATTTAACTACTTTCAAGAGAAACAGTCAATGAATAACCTTAATTCTTTAATATAAATGTAAAACTTGGTCATTGTGATAGAATTTAATTTCATATTGGATTTGTTTATTTGATTTAGTATTATTTACTTGATGAAGTTTCGAGCATAAATTATCATCAATCATGATCATAATCATATCAACGGAATCACACTATTTTCAACATCTGATTTTTATAATCCTGTCATCACTTATTCTTTGTTTCTATTAATGGTAAAATTTTCTATATCTTTGGTATGGGTGTTGCGTCATTTCTATTACATGTGTTGCGTGTTGATTCGATGAATACAGATTCAGTAATCAATCTCTCCCTCACTCTCTCCACCTAATTATATTGAACTTAAGTACAATGGCTTTATCTCACCTTGTTGTGTGGTTGTATGTTAATGCATGCATTCCAATAGGCGAGTTTTTTTTGCCAGATTATTGATCTTATTCAGGTCTGTCATCCTATATTTAGCTAAGTTACTATGTTCGGTTATTCTAACTGACCGGCTAGTTTGACCTATGTACTTAACGTCGTAGTCATTACATGGAATTTCGTAGATTAAATTAATTGCTTAATTAGTTCTATCTGGCAACTCCTCTAACAATACGGAATACCACAAAGCTTTATCAATCTCATTCAACAACTATATGGAGACGCCATATGCCAAGTGATCCACAATGGAAAGCTCAGTGATGCCTTTGAAGTGAGGACAGGAGTAAAACAAGGGGATGCACAGGACCGGGGAAAAGATCCTAGAAGATTTGGATTCCGTCACCGATGACTTGTGTCTAATGTTTTGTGGCACAAACTCGAAGATCTACACGAAAAAAACTAGCAAGTTGACATAAGAGGTAGGGCAGCGAAGACGGGACTTCAAGTGAACGTAGAGAAGACAGAGGTGATGAAGATACCCAACCAACAACAACAATAAACACCAATCACCATTAATGAGAGAAACTTAAAGGAAGTAGCCCCTTTCACTTATCTAGGCAGCATCATTTCAATTACAGGCGGCACAGACGAGGATGTCAAAGCCGGGATCGGAAAAGCAAGACAGGCGTGTTTATTAACCTGAAACCAGTGTGGAGATCTACTGCACTCTACTCAGCATAAAGCATGAACAACATCCGAATCTTCAACACTAAGTCAGTCAAATCACTGCTTCTATGTGATGGTTGCGATACTTGGCGCGTTACGAAAGGCATTCCCAACAAACTACACATTCATCAACAACTGCCACCTACCCTCACTCCATACTGAACATCAGATGAGATGACCATAATAATGAGAATAAGCAAAAAGGAACTGTGGCTGGCTGGCTGGCTAGCAGCGAACCAACGAAGCAAGAAGCTATCTCTCAACAAATATGCAGGAGTAAGTGGAGATGGATTGGGCATGCACTGAGAAGACCATTCGGGGACATCACGCTCCAAGCCAGGATATCGAGTGGAACCCAGATGGGAAACGACGAGGTGGGCGTCCGAGGTGGGGGTGACATGGAAGAGATGGTGTGAGGAAGAAATGAAAGCTTCTGGGCTGTAGTTGAGTCGGGTTCAAAAGATTGTAAGAAACAGAGTAGAATGGAGAAGTGCTACTGAAGCCCTATCTCCCATTAGGAACTCAAGGGACAAATAATGATAATAATAATTACTAATGGATGATAGTTAACGAAAGTAATTGACTACTAAAACAGTAACCGATTTCAAACTAAATCATTTCAAGTATACAACAATCCATCTTAAAAACATATCTACAAACACAAAACTTCATAGATTGCTTTCATAATTTCTGATTGCCCTAAATAATAATAATAAGTTAGAACAATAGTCAATCAGATATCAACAAATATTCCATTAACCAAAATCAATAAAGGTTTACAATCTGATTACCTGATTTCGCTACCTTAATCTCAGCTACATATTACTCAAACAATGATTACATCATAAACGTGCAAACTAGGAGATGCTTCGAAAATGATTAATTCACCAAAAGACAAGAAACTACAAAGTACTTTGCCACTACACTAATGGATAAGTTCCAAAGTTCAGTAGACTAAGCATGACGAACTAGAAACTTCTACATACACGATCTCTGGCTTCCTCATATTGTTTTATCGTTTTGAAAAACTATCACGTGAATATGCTAACAGACATTCAGTCTCTTGATTTATGCAACTGCTTTTGGTTGGTATTCATCATGAACTGAAATCAGTTGGAGACAGACTGGACATCAGTTTCTCCCTGGTAATAGGCTCAGCTGTGTGCACCCATGATCCTGACAGGGATCGAGCCCAGAACCTTCAAGTTCCCCATTCAGCATGTTACTACTAAGCCGCTGGGTCAGAACTCAGTGGTTCGGTGATTCCTGAAGTTCTAATGAGAAGTTGTGACCAGTGGTGACCATGAGGACAAACACCCAGTGATGACACTGGGTTATGGTCGCGGTGTCATGAAGTGACAAAAGTTGGAAATATGGACCATTGGATTTCAACCCAGTGGTTCAATGGTAACGTGCTGGATACGGAAACTGAAGGCCCTAACTTTGATCCCTAGAGGGGATCCTGAGTGTACACTGCTGAAGAGTCCTACACTGGGATGAAACAGTTGTTTATTGCTCCCAAGTTTCAAATGTTTCTTCAACTGATGTCAGCTCATGACGAATACCAACCCAAAAAACAATAAAATCCACATAAACCCCCAAATTGAGTTGACTTTTGATCAGTGATTCGAAGTTAAACCTTACATATCGAGGTTTAGAGTAACCAGTTCATATCGGTAGCACACATATGACGGTTGTGGTTTATGGCTTACAGGAAAAGCTGGAATTCGTCGCTGAAGATAACGATGGTCGAAAGAAATCGAATAAACTAAACATGTGGATAAGCATTTCACTAACCTTTGAATACACAGAATATATGGCGTTTTACTATGTTAAATTGATAAAATCAATGTTTCACTTTTAATTAGACTTTATTTCTTCGCCATCTTTCAAAACGCACTGATTCAACTGTTATGCATTGTAAAACATCTTATCCCTTCACCAGTCTTGCAAACTAAAGTCTTGATGACAATATAATTTTATTCAAACTTTTCATGTTTGTAATGTAAAACCAACTAATATAATGATGAAATGTGATATGACGTTAGAACATACACAAATTTATCCACAACATATTTCGTGTATGTTATAGATACACATGATTTAAATACTGAATAGTTGTTTCACTATTTCAAGCCACAGTCATAATAAATTATGTCAAGGGAAAAAAGCAGCTGAGAGTTGAATTATTATTCAGATGCTGTAGATGTGGAAAACAAATTTCGAATATCTAAAAATGCCAGAAAATGGATGCATAGAACACAAATTGGTACCGTTCAAGTTAATGTTTCTTACATTGCCTAAAACCAAAGCAACTAGATTATCTCAGAAAATGTGTGTGCAGTAAGCAATGAGCAACTGCTTTAAAAAAAGCTAATAGCACTATGTGGAAGTCAAAAACTCGGTAGGTGGAAGGAAGCTATAACCCATAACCCACTGGTTAAAAGTCAAATGCCTAATTCAATAAGTCATAACTCTACGAAAGTGTAGTTACGTGGTAAGCACTCCCTACATACACCTTTTTAATGACTGACTAACCGGCATACAGCATCGCCTCAAGGTGCCACACTTCACAGTAGTACACAGAGAACAGGTTAAGAGAAAGTGTTATCCAAGTAGACGAACTTGTATGAGGGAATAAACAATTTGAAGATAACGGTTAGTGCAAATATTCAAGCTTTCGAAGATGTCAAAGAGTGAGCGATTTTCAGCCATGTCACCAAGAGTCTTCAAGTACTGATTTCTTTCGTCTCCAGGACCCTAACCAAGCATTCTACATCTCCCCACACGGCACAAGCCAACAGTTAGGGACTTCATCGATTAGCGTCAGGTTTTGGTCTGGGCACCCTGAATCCTTTTCCATCTTGCTCCAACTTCCGGTAGCATGCCACGTCGAGGTAGACGGTGGCTCGGATGCACAACACACACATGCCCAAGCCATCTCGGTTGATGAGGGTTCATAACCTCACCAGTCGACTTGCTTGTCTTGCCTAGTACTCTTCGCTTGACTTAAACATTACTCACACGGTTATTCTACCACACGCGAGTAATGCTACAAAGACACCTATGGTCAAAAACTGTAGCTGCGGAGAATATTTGTAGCTTAGGTGGATGGTCTTGGTTGTATTGTGTTCTCTGAGCTGGGTTGCTTAATCGTCAAGCTTTCATCGTCTTTCTAGACGACCTCATCAGCATTAACTTCAGTAAGACCAATTTCATACTTAAGTTAGTATTGATGATGTCGTCTAGAAAGACGATGAAAGCCTCACGATTAAACAACCCAGTTCGGACAACAAAATACAACCAAAACTGCAACTGTTTCATGTCTCCTACTTTTAATGGCTATGTCTCACAGCCGTACAACAGGACAGAACGGATTGCAGAGCAGTATACTCATCCTTTGATAGATAGCTGGATACTTAGCCAACGCCACAGGTAATGCAAGTTGGTAAATGGTAAACAGGCCTTCTGTATCCGAGACGAGATTTCGTCAGCAACCAGCCCATTCAAGCTGATGCCACTTCTTTAATCACTAAACTGAATAAAAGTGCAACAATACGGAAGTATCTGGATTATAAATCAAAACAAAATAGGATATGTCAACAAATAAAAACTTATCGAGGATAAACAATCTTTAAATCTGGCCATGCCTACTGACTGAATAACGTGCTGATGCCACATGTGATAAAATATTTTCCGCCTATTATCCTAATTGTGTCTGCTGATTGGGTTAAAAAAAACCATTTGATTAGAAAATATGATACCGGATTAAAAAGCGGTGAAGTTAAGGGACTATACAAACTAAAGCTTATCTTACACTAATTCATTTTGCAGATTGATTGATTGATTCCAAGTCAGTTAGCACCACGGACTGACATAGGTTGGTAAACCACTGAAAACGTGGAGGAAGCGCTGGGTGGCTCTTTTGTCATAGCATAGAACTACTCCAAACTGAATTACTTACTGTTCAGTACTTATTAGTGACAGGCCTCAAGAGGGATTTCCTGAAGTTCTACTGTAAAACAATGACCTATGGGGTAAACCAAATCATTTAAACTCCTAGAAATCATTATCAACCTGAAGCTTTTTTATCTGGTATAAATTATAAAGAAGCAAATGAAACTCACCGATAACACTTCGATCAAATCCTGCTTAGAGATATACCCATCATTGTCTAAATCATACATTGTGAAAGCCCAACGTAACTTTTGGGATAAATCACCATGATTTGTTACATTTAATGAGGACAGGAAATCTCTAAAATCAACCAGCCCATCACGATTTCGATCAAATGTACGGAAGACATATTCTGCGAATCGAGCTGATTCACCATACGGGAAAAACTTTGTATAAACACGTTTAAAATCATCTATGGATAGATGACCAGTTGGGCATTCCTTACATAAAAAAGAAAGAATCTCATTATTAGTAATAAACACTATTTATTATTATTGGAAAATGATAAATAAACTAAACATTAACAAACATGTCACACTAGATAATATGTAATCCAGTCTAGCAAATCGGCACAGATTTCTGTAATGAGCCATGGAGTCACATTCAATGTGCAAATGGGTATAACCAAATATAACCACATTATCACAGTCGAAGTAACTGGGGCATCACAGAACGATATAACAGCATGAGGATAGAAAACAGAAGAAAAAACCTTTTAAAACACCTATCAAACAAATCTACTATAAGATATATTGCACAAGTTCGAAGAATGAATTGCGAGTTTTTAATACATGATTATATTTCAGTTAAAATGGTTGGTCACTTCAATGCCTCGACATTATAACGTATTACAACAAGTACTCTCATCAAGCCAGTTGTACATGTGAAAAACAATCAAAGATCTATATCTACAAAAACACTAACACACCTCACTTAGGTGGAACCAGTGAACACTGTTTCATCCTAACAAGTTACTTTCAAAAGTCTGACAAAATTAGTGATAAGTAATGGCAATAAATAATAGGCGTGCAACTCACAAACCCTATAGGATGTTAAGAAGACAACGGGACACAGTTAGCACTACCACTTTGTCATCTGAAGCCCAGGTAAAGCAAAGTCTAAATCCACAGTTAATAGCACCTAATACCAAATAGCCAAATTACGTCATGTTATACGCATATTCACAAGGTTACTGCTATTTGAGCCTGTTTAGTTACAGCTTACACTACCACAAAAGAGTGTTCAAAGCAGAGAAAACCAAGGGATATAAATCTCTGTGTAGTTTAAAATGATTGTTTACTCAGAATAGCTGGTCATTGAGTTGCATTTCTTTTTCCTGATAAGTAACAGAACACCAATAAGTGGAGCACAATAATGAAATGAGCTAGTAAACAGAAAGAAGTTGACAAAGAGTGAAACAAGCTTTGGGAAAGATAATAAGTGGAAGAATTTTATCATCGTCGTGTACTTAAGTTCACATCACTAAGTCTCCCATCATCGACTGCTAATGTTTCTCAGATATCAACCAGCAGGCAAGTACTTCCCGTAAACAGTTCATGACCAGCCATTTACAAGATCCTTAATAAACATCCGAATATCCGACGATTCCCTAAAGTAATTTAGCCAAACCATTTGTAGCCATAAAAAGCTTTCATCAAACCAGCATTCACACAGCTTCCCAAGTAGGTAGTGATCATTTATACTTGGAATATTAGTTATTATTCGGAATGGAGAGTCAGATTTACCAGCAGCATACTCCATGGGCTCACCTAAATACAGACATATCACTAATGAGACCAACACGATTAGAGCTGAAAAGACAACTCCAAAATATATCATGATCTTTCACTAACGTTTTATAATGGAAGCCAGTGAAAGTACGATCTCTTCGCTTAATACTCAGTTGCTGTCAGCGAAGACCAACTTGAAAATTTTTTTCTTGTGCAGTGTTTAATTGCGTGTGGTATTTCGAACAAACTCTTTGACAACTACTACCATTATCCGTTCAACAAGCTAGGATTCCAAAAGTACTTTCAGAACACTTTACAGTTAGAGATAATTAGGTATCAGAACTAACAAAGTTTCGCATAGAACCATTCAACCCAAAAATGCACAACGGATAATAAACTGTGATCTGATCACATGACTATGTGACAGAATGAACACTGAGTCATTTATATGAAGAGTACTGTTGTTAAGACGAGTTTCAAAATTTCCGAGTTCTATTCTAGGAGAAAATATCAATGACAAAACCTACACTACAATTGAGCAGGCTCATAGTAACAAGAAATGTTAATTTATCGTAAAATCTAGATCAAACTAGATATCTATCATCTGTGTGGACAGGAAAATATCGTAAATAATAAGCTTCTCAAAAAACATCAGAGCAGCGTGAATAGAATTTGTTCAGTCCCAATCTAACATTTGTGAGAAAAGTCGGATAGGTTGATGTCTGCTTAGTGGCTAGCAATGGAATCCGGGAGGTGCGTTTCCACTCATTTGGAACTTGTCAGTTGGATATACCTGCACCCCGGTGAGTGATGCTGTTCCCAGTATCCATCACTTCAAACACCAAAGTGTTACCCCCTAGACCACTGCCGAACGATAGCCACCTCTTGCTACATAAGTTTGAATATATTTAGAAGAAACATTTTTCCTCAGCAAGTTGTATAAATTACAAACTTGTTCATTCACTTGTGCCAACCGAACAATTAAGAATGTACAGTAATTAACAACACTTTACTGACACACTTAAAAAGTATTATTTTTCACATTATTTATTTAAATAAGTATGTGTCAAATATCACAGCGTAAACCAGAGATTAGAATATGTGATGAAATAATACAGCATTCTTGTTAGCTAATTATCTGACAGTTAGTGAAATTAAGAACCAATACAATCGGTTAGACAGCACACCATACTCGCAAAATTCAATGAGTCAATAACTAAAACTCAATCAGTACCCAATCTTACAACAGAGTAAAAGAAATCTCAAAAGTCACTTTAGAAAGCCCAACCAGGACAATCAACGTCAAAGCTTTACGAACAACTCTAGTACATTCATATAAAAAGAGCATGTTATAATTCTTCAAACTTCGTTATCCCTGGAAACTTCCATGGTGAACACTAATGTACACAATTAGCTTAACCCTTCAGTGTCGTTACGCAGCTTGTTGGATATCTATTCCTACTAAGTAGGTTAGGATTAGTATTAAGCTCAAACTGTATATTGTGTCAACAGACCAAGTGGCTTTTACACTATAACCCAAGCATTTTGCCAACATTTGAGGGGCTTTGAGATTAAACGTGAATATCGTGACCAGATAATGTTGGCTTCCTGTAAATATTCCATTTTACCTTCTCATTAATACAACAACCAGAAAAGAAATACTACCATTTTATCTTTCCAAAGTGATGAATATAGGAGAGTATTCATTGTAAAACTTATACCTGAATGCAAAGACATTGACAAGAAAATAATCGGAAAAAACATATTTATTCACCTAATTTGTCTTTTCACAAATACTAAAACGGGAATATCTAATGATCATCCTCACCAGTTGTTTTAAAGAGGACAAGGTATGAAAAAATCAGTGCCATCGAAACAAAAAGCACAACACTGACAAAAACAGCTAAAGCAAGTGAGGAAAAACAAAATGAGGAATGATCAGAATAAAACTTTGTATGTTCATTTTATTCACCAAACAGATGTTCAGTGAAATAAGAGAAAATCTAGTACCTAGTCCTCTATATGTTGTTCGTCTAAGATGAAGCATCTAGTTGGTACGATTGCAGATATGTATAATTTACATTCATTAGAGTGACATATCCGGTTTCGCTTACCTGATAATCACTAAGCTAAGTATATAGTTATTAATCTATGGGAAACAGATTACTACAGAAACCCATTCCTTTTAAACATGCTCCATTGCAACCCCCCTATGGTCAGACCAAGATATGACACCAATTCATGAGGTCTCTTAGTGTTGACTTGAGCCGTGTGGGGAGATGTAGAATGCTTGGTTAGGGTCCTGGAGACCAAAGAAATCACTACTTGAAGACTCTTGGTGACATGGCTGAAAATCGCTCACAATGACGTAGATGTATTCACTCTTTGACATCTTCGAAAGCTTGAATATTCGCTCTAACTTTTATCTTCAGATTATCTATTCACGGATACTACTTTGTTTACTTTATCACCCCATTTCTATCCATTTGTTATTTGCGTACTACTGTGAAGTGTAGCAACCTGAGCCAATGCACTCCTGTGAGAGGTTCCACGTTGTTTTTGTCAGTCAATTAGTCACTCTCTGCGTCACTAACATCTAAACGAGGTTTCAAGTTTCAATAGCTGTGAAGTAAATCCAATAGAGTAGCCAACAATAAGTAGTAACAGGCTTTGCTGATATATTTTTTAGCGAGAGACACTACCCAAGGAAATTTCAATAAATGGATTGTGCTCAGAAATATAACTTACGTGAAATTTGCGTGGTACGTAGGGAAAAACGATGTATCATGCATATCACCTGAAGACAGTGACTGCTAATTCTACAATAGTAGAACAGGCAAATGATGACATCTGCTTGTTGATATAATTGCACTGATTTGGCATAACTGAGTCAAAGGTTGTCATACAGCTCATAATACAAATGTGGAGATTCAATTAGATGCATACCAGAAGATATAATGAGACCAGTAATGATCATTAATCAATAAAAAAACATACATAATATAGAGAGTATAGAAACTGAGTAAGATATGTTCCTAAATACCAACAATAGAGACAAAAACAACCGAAGGTAACCGACTCCCCAGTCTGGGAAAACTGACCCAATTTTCGACTACTACATGAATCCTTACAAAGATTTTATTACTACCTAGAGGTTTGATAACAGATGATTACTGAATCTGGAACTAGACAGGTTTGTTCATATTTGTCTTTACCATGAAAATTGATAAGTATATATCAGGCCTATGATTGCCTGAGGTAGGTCTGCACAAAAAGACATATAACAACTGCAGATCAAAACACAATTTCCATAAACCCATATTATAATGTTTAACTAGCTAAAACACTTGATCATAAATCAATGAGGTATTTGGATCGAACACCACCCTATTTACCAAGATTTAAGCAGTGAGATGGTATTATCAACCCGCACGCATTAGGTTTTATTCATAGGCTAGTGCGAAATCCCGCATGTATCTGGATAGTTATTCGTTATTTATCATTCCTGAGAAATGACTTACGAGAGTTTTCCAGACAATTTGACTCACTCTAGTTTAGAATTTTGTAGCATTACCTGAATGCAACTTTCCTACTAAGTACACTAGTGTATAAAATAACATCATAAATATATCGATCTACGTCAAAATCCTTGTAATCTGTATAGATGAAGAAAGCTAATATCCCAATTATTTAAAAAAATAGCACCACGTGGACGAAAAGTCGACGAAGACGAAGAAAAATCTTGCTTAGTTTGCCAATAAATCCAGTCAAAAACTGCTCTGAGATAGGTCTCTGCTCAATCCCTATGATAAACCACAACAACTAGCACCTACCATATGCAGAGTTATCCTTGGAGTTTTCAGTTCTACGTAACCATTTAGTTGGAGTTCTTTTACCGACAGGATGTTTAGCATTTGATTTTCAGTGTACGAAGTAATTTGCAGTTTTTTGAAACCCTAAGCTGCGTACTATCTGAAAGTATATATATAGCATATATTTTTAATTTGTCGATATCAAAGCAAATGCGATATTCCTATGATCACTGAATCACATCCACCTTACTGATTCCTACAAAACGGTGTACATTGCATTTGCTGGTTTCGAATAAGCATAACGATAATCATGAAAAGAATAAACCCTACGACCATTCATGTCCAGCGACCTTAGAGACAACTGATTCCAGGTAAATATTGATGAAGTGTTGTACCTGATAAAACAAAAGACTTAAATCCTTGAATCAACAGGCTACTGGGAGCTAAAATGTTTTGCAATCTACATGATCCAACTTACCTTTAAAAACCCCTTGTACCAGTCTTGAATCTCCGTTTCTGTAAACGATGTTTGATTCAGTAATTCCTCGACAGCATCTTGCTTCAGTTTCGGTTGTTTTTGGCCCATAGACTGGTAAAAATTACGGTTGGAGTTCCGGACAAATCTTTCAGTTTACACTCAACCTAAACGTAGTATTCATAAAAAGTAACACAATGTAGCACAAGACTGCAACTTTTTTCAAACTAGAGACTGCACCATACGAATTACCTTACTACAGATTTGAGAACTGATCATCCACTTAGTATTTTTTTCTCTAAATATCTCTAAATATAATTTTGAAAAAAAAATAACCCAATTATCTATGAGATAAACAGAACAGATCATCTTATTTTCAGTTTAAGAATTACTTCCAGAGAATAGTTTTACGGAGTTGATTCAGAATGGTTCCAAATTAAAAAGCGGAAATAAGAGAGTACAAGCCATAGAATCAGACACCCAGAATCAACGTTAAATCTGGCACACAACTGCGTACGCCGTTCTACCACACTTCACAATCCTATACAAAGAACAACTGGATACGAAAAGTGATATCATGGTGGACAAACGAGTACGAGAGAAGAGACAATTTGAAAACAAGGTTACTTAAAAACATTCAAGAGCATGAAGCGATCAAAAAGCATGCAAACCTGTACCGAAAAACTCGGCCACTAGGAGTCATCAACATTACGTAAATGCTAATTTCTGGTATCTCCAAGACATCACACAGCGAGGCAGTCGACACTTAAGTGTACAGCTGAGGCCGTTAGTCAGGGACGTAATTGACCTGTGCCACGTCTTGTTATGGCCACCCTGAACTATCTTGCAGTGTGATTCAAATACACCCAGCCTAGCACGTCGGCGTAGGCGGTGGATCAGCATGCGTAACATATGTCAAAGACATCTCAGTCAACTAAGGTTCACAATCTCACCGGCTGACTTGCAGGCTTTGTCTAGTACTCTTCATCTGGCCTCAAAATTGCCAACATGGTAGTTACACGATACGCGAGAAATCCTATGAAGACACCCGTGATCGAAAACCTATGACCGCTTCATGTCTTCTACTTTCAACAGCCACGTCTCACAGCAGTAAACCAGGGATAACGGAATGCAACGCGGAGTACTCGTCCTTCGATAGAGAGTCAGATATCTCGCCAGTCAGCGCCACAGAGGACGCAGGTCGGCAAGTGCCAAACGGGCCTTCTGTATCCGAGATGAGACTTTGCCAACAATTTCGTTTGGGCTGGTGCGAATCACCAATTAAGTGAAGTGGTCGATACATCCAACAACTCCACTCCCTATCATCGACCTGGGAGTGGTTGAAAACCAGTCCTACAGCATCATCTTACATTTGACGACACACGTGACATGCATGCAAAACACTCAGATTTCTGCTCAACGCGTTCCGAAAACTCTATCTGCATTTTGGTAGCGTCTTCTAGCAGGACAACATCACCTGCATACTCCAAGTTAACCAGATGACCTCCAGGAAGTAGATCAACTCCTATGGAGTCAGACGCACCTAAGTTCATGCCCATTAGTACGTCTATGAAGAAGTTAAATAGGAACGGTGACAGTGGACATCCCTGTCGAACACTGTGAGTTGTCGTCAATTCAGATGACAACCCTCGATAAACCCTGATACGGCTGTGTGAGTTCAAGTAGAGAGCTTTCATTAGCGTTATATAATTTCTCAGTACTCCCTTTACAGTCAAACACTGCCACAACAACTTACGGTTAACAGAACCGAATGCCACCTTCAGGTCAAGAAATTTGGCAAGTGTCAGCCACCGGTTAGTATGCCCGTGTTCCAGAACCTGTCGAAGGATGAAGATATATCCAACGCATCCTCGTCCAGGTGTGAAACCTGGGTGATTTTCTTGGGTTTGCTGTTCTCCAGCTCCACTTAGGCGTCGGGTAACTATAAACCCCAAAATTTTGGACACAACGTTAATCAAACTATTTCCCCTATAGTTGTCACAAGGGGACTTCTCTCCATTTTCATGGACTGGAATGACTAGTGAAGCAGGCCGATTTCCATACACTACCTACTACCTGTCACTTTGATTAGCAATTTTCCACCTCCATCCTCGAAAACTTCGCGCAGCGAACTGCCAGGTCCTGCCACCTTCCATCCTTTCAGGTTAGATACAGCCTTTTCACCTTCAAGGACATTTAGAGGACCGACATCTATGCCCCATTCAGGTTCAGGCTGGACGCTGGGGAACTGAACCGTTGCTGAGGGTCAGTTGAACTGTGCTTCACAGTGTTCTGCCCAACGTTCTAGCCCCCTGTCCTGGGAGCCTATCAGTGTCCCATCCTTTTCGGTGATGGTGTCACTAACCATCGTTTTCTTCTTGCGGGCATCCTCAAAAGCCTAAATAATTGCTGGGTGTTACCAAACCCTGGAGCCTTACCCATTTCTCTCACCTTCGTTACCTACCACTGCTCCCGATCGTTGCGAAGACACTTGGCCGACTTGCTCTTCATTGTGGTCAGAATGAGCTAGAACCAGTCTTCTCGTATCAATCAGTTAGGATGATACCTCGGAAATCCAATGACGTTTGCTAGTCTTCGGGTGCAGGTTACTAACTGTCTTTACTGGTGTTCCTACAGAAGACTTAATATCACGCCGGGTTTACTCAGGATGACCACTCCTGTCACGTTTGGGTAAATGCTTACCTAACTTTTCCCTGATTATTTACTTCATGTTCTCATCCTCTAATCGAGCACCTGTAGGCTAAATTGGTTACTGTTTTCTACCACCAGTAAGACCCAAATACACACAAGTACGCTCTTGTGCGTGATTGTGGTCCAAATAGGTACTCTCGAAAAAGCTGCCAACCAGCGCTGATCCTCTCCAACGATGGCTTGTGGCAATATGATATATGTCTCCATCGTTGGTTTGATGTTGGCGGACGCCATGTGCGGCATTGTCTCGCCTTATGCCTGAAGTTAGTGTTGACCAGAAACAGATGGTTATCAGAGCAAAGTTACAGACGACCACTGTTTTCGGTTACTTGGTATGGGTCTCCGTAAATATCCCCAAGATAATCTTCCGATTAACTCAGCTTTATTACTTGAGTTTAGAGTCACCTGCCATTATGACTATATCTGAACGTTTTGCTTTCCATAGCACAATCCACAGCTCATAGAATTCATGCTTTCCATCATCTTAACTGCAGTCGGTGAGTGCGCGGGCGGAGATTACAAATAGGCAGCGGTTGGTCTCATGAACCTCCCTAGTTCTTAAAGATTCGTTCAGTTGAACAGCACATACACGGCCTTTGACTAGAATCCAATCAAGAAGCGCACTTTTTGCCCCACAGCTCAGTGCTATGCCTAATTCAGCGAGTACACGACAGCTAGCCACAGGACTTCCGGATACTCGTGAATTTTGAAAATTCACTACTATAGCCAGTTGAGGTCACACACTCGGGTCCCGTATACGTGTCTCTGAAACAGCATACATCCATAGCTAGACTCGAGAGTTCTGGCGAGCAATGCCTGGTGTGTGATTTGACTGAGTTCGGATGTTGAAAGCTCTGACATAAAATAGATAGTAAGGTTTTACGAGACTAGGAATGAGGTTTGGATGGCTTTGATTTTTGCATTGGTAGCAGAAAGACTAAGAAGTTGTAACAGGCTGAATATTGGTACCAGAAAGTGAAGGCAAAGAAAAAGAGAGAGTTGAGGAGGACATGCTAAGTTTGAATGGGTCTTGTGTACTACATGAAGCCTGTGGGCAATTGACACTTCACGGCTGCACAAATTATGAGAAGCTAATTCTCATCGAGGTACGTGGAAGAGAAGAGGTAGTATGTGACTGCATAGCCAGAAGAACATCCGCTTGAGGCCGGTCACAGTCTCTTGGTACTTTTGAGATTTTGGTTTTTTGCATCCGAACCCGACTATGAGTCTCTTTTGCGGGCATTAGCATGCCTTGAAGAGGTGAGTGTGCTATTTTTAGGGCCTACCTTCGCTAATGCTTCCCTCCCTCCCTTTCAAGGGGAAAGGCAGCTTTAGCGTGGCACTGTTGGTCATCCAAGCTCATTGGTTAAGGGAGATGACAACAAATGGGTCACGAGTTCGAGCCCCACTCTCCCTACCGAGGTTAAAGCAACCAGGTAGTATCATTAGCATTCACACATTAGATGTGGCTCACTGCCTACCACACGATACGCTCAAGGCTGCAGAGTGCTTTTTTTCCTACTCATCTACGGGAAATACATTAGTGACCCCCCCCCCCACACTCCCATTAAAGTCCTCAGAGCCTCATCATAGCGTAGAAATTTACACTATCATGACAGCTTTTCTTTTTCTAACCACTAACCAATAGACATTTCTGGTACGGTAGTACCTGTAAGGAACAAGCGTTCCACCAGCATAGATCTGGGCCATTGCGATGTACAAGCCCGAACACTACGACTAACACACTGGCGTTCGGTCTGCTTAATGGTGCATACTCACAATGCAATTATGTAGATTTTTGGACAATCCGTAATTCATCATCAAGCTATAATCAACGAAAAACAATAAAACACCAAGTCCCAAATTCTTAAATGCAACGGTGAAGCCTGTGCACATTTTGCTTCAAGTTAATGGGTCACGAATTAACTCCTACTGGGAACGAAGGAGATATATATATATATATATATATATATATATGCTCCATAAATAATGAAACCAGCTGATTTCGAGCAATTTAATCTCACCACATAAAGTGGGAACCGCGGGTCTGTAGACCTGTCGGTTTATATCAAACACATGTCAGTGGATACAAATCTATTAAAAAGGAATGAGCATTATAAAACTTTACCTGATAACGATTATATGTAGTGGACGAATTAAAGAAGTAATCGAAGTGCGACAAAACCAGGCTAATTCAGAACAGGAAAGTGGCGCATTGATTTGAACTTGCCAACGTCCAACATCAAATGTTTAAGTGGTCCCGATGACTGTTAACAGAATAGAGGCTTTCACTTAACTGACTTCTGTATCTAGAATCTATGAATTATTAGTTCCTGAAATTTTGACCAGTGTACAATTAAATGGAGAATTAAAAAGGGTGGTTAGAACTTAAATATTCAGTTGATTCTGAGATCCCATCCATATCTGAAAAACGTATCAAGCTAGCGTTTTAAGGATAGATATGAAGTATCCGGGATACTCTCTGCCAGGCGAGAATTCTAGGGTTTAACAGCTCTTAGGGAACAGGAACTGCGTCGACATTTAACTTCCCACATTTTAGGTTTAGTTTGCGTATATCCTGTAAGATTGGTACGAAGACTCAGTAAGCGACGCAGTGTGTTTCCAGGGGTGTTCAGGACGTTCTAAGCCACTCTCGAGTCCCCTCTGGGTCTTTTACAGTCCATGCGATACATATCAAGGGCAACCGGTCGTTTTAGACCTCAGTTCTCAAACAAATTTAGTCAAGCGCCTCAGTAGTGGCTGCATAGGAAACTGATGCCTTTTGATCCCTCTCATCTAGCATCATAGTTTACAGCCTTCAAAGCTCCATAAACTCTTGTTGAAAAGGGGCGAAATGATAGTTCTCACACCAGCACCAGTTTTTTAAGTTCTGAAACTGTGATACTGGGAGTAGGTCTCAAATATGCACTTTCTTCTTCAGTTTTCTCCCAGCAATTCTTGAAACACACTGGAGACGTTATGATTATTCTGGTAGCTAATAAACAGCAAAAGAAAGCACATCTGGGATACTTTAAGTTAGTTGGGCTGATCCCAGAACTGATGTCTGTCTTCCGTTTGAAGGCATTTGGAGATTGATGAAACGCTACCCCTTCAAGAGTGTCTGTAGATCATAGCTGTGATCTTTGTCATTGTGATGGTCCAGAAATGTGTTCGACGACCGGTTATTTCTGACTTTTAGAGAGAATGCTTTCATACAGCATGCTTCGAAGGATATGCATCACGCTTCTACTCCAGACCCCGAGCTTTTGATCCTGGTGTTTAGGCATGAACGTGATGAGTTGAATAGCTTTTTCTTCTCCTCTTACTAGTATGGACTAAACAGTCCTGTCCTCTGAGCTAACAGTCAGTGATATGATCAAAGCCCAGATTCAGCCGCTGTGGTTATAAGTAACGGGTGACACTTACGTACTGGTCACTTAATCCCGATTCGTCCAGCGACGGTGAATGGCTCAAGTTTGAAGGAACATTTGAGATAGTTACGCCTGGTCTAGTCCCTCAAACGGTACCTCGTGGGCCGATGAGCTGTTATGCAAGGGTTGATACGTCATGAAACTTTACACGCGAGAAAAGGTTAAATGGACCCTCAAAGTCAGCTGGTTCGGAACAGCTCCGAACTAAGTACTATCCTCATAGAGATAGCACTGAAGCCCCCATCGAAGAACTCTAAGGAATTATACTAAACCAGGTTTGTTAAAGAACTAGCTGTGACCTTCTAAGAGTTTGTCCTCTCACAATAAGGGAAAAATACGTAGTTGAGGTTATGAAAACATCTCCCACTGCTGACAACTCAATAGGGAAGACAGAAATGATATATTCAAAGCTAAAGGGTTGTCATATTACTACCACTACAGAACATGGTGAATAACCGGCAATTTCACTCAAATTTAAACATGGTGAAAATTTACTCCTTAATAACAACGAATATCTGAAGTGACTTTTAATGTATAGGCACATCTGACGTATTCATGGGGAACAGTAGGCATTTTAGGAAGATGTTTCAAGAAGTGTCCTAGTGTGAACTCGACAGACGCAAAGGCCAATCACTAATTATTCTAACTTGTTATAGACCCACGAATAAGAGACCAGCAAAGAACTCAATAGTGTAGTGGGATGGAGTAGTATATTTGCGAGGTCGTGCTAAGGCACCGCTGCGTTCCAACTAACTGGCTAGAGAGTCGAATACGAGCGGCGCAACGTAACACGACAGCGTGCCAAATGGCCAGGATGCTTGACCGGGCGCCTTCAGCTCAGTGAGTCCAGTTAAACAACGACGGTCAGCATCAATGTTGAATCTCATTGAAATCTGGGCCATTGATTCTGCGGACACTTGTGACGCTAAGATCTGCATGCTTTGCTAGCACTCCGGTAGTTAAGCGAAGCAGCGATTATATTAGATAAACACTCAAGTTGTGGATATGCCAGCGGAATAGAAAGAAGTAAATGGCTTGTTCATAAAGTGCAGAATTCATCCGGTTTCTGTCACTAGATACTTACCATATGCCACAATACTTATCTGATTCAAAGTGCCTGCTGGAAACCTGATGCTGCTGTGACTATGCAGGTT